TTTTAAGGACCCCAAGAGTCAATTTGCATTCCAGCAGAGCATTTTTCTTTTAAATGTCACTATCTGCATTAGAACTGAAAATTCCTTAAAGTCTGCGAGTGCCCAATCATCAATCGCAGACCAAAGATGTGGACTCTTGATGGTCACAAGATGCCAAAAATGTCATTATCTCCATTGGCACTAAAATTCCCGAATGTCTGCGAGTGCCTAAGAACAAGTTACAGACCAAAGAAATGGACTCTTGAGGGTCCCTAGAAGTCAAAATGTCATTATCTGCATTGACACTAAATGTTTCTGAAAGTCTACGAGTGCCCAATAATTAGTCGCAGACCAAAGAAATGGACTTGTGAGAGTTACCCAAAATAGGTTATAAATCCATTTGTACCAAAATCCTGAAAGTCTTAGAGGATGTCAGTCAAAGGTGCAGGCGCAGACCCGTGAAATAGATCTCACATTAAAAACAACATTTTCAGAGGCACTTTGTTTATAAGAGTAAAGCAGGGATGTCCTGCTAGATTGCTTTGCCAGCTCCGCATTTCAGCAGAACAATTTAATACTCTGCGAGTTTGCCTTGCCAGCTCAGCATTTGAGTAGAGCAATTTTGCACTATTTTTAGGAATGCCCCGCTAGAGTGCCAAGCCAGCTGGACATTCCAGCAGAGCATTTTAACACTATAAATTTGAATGCCCTGCTAGATTGCCTAGCCAGCTGAGAATTCCAGCAGAGCATTTAAACACTTTATTTCAGTGTGCTCTGCTAGATTGCCAAGCCAGCTGAGGATTTATCATACTATAATTTAAGAATGCCCTGAAAGATTGCTTTACCAGCTAAGCATTCAAGCAGAGCATTTTTATATTATATTTCAGAATGCTCTGCTAGATTGCTGCTAGCCAGATGAGCAATCCAGCAGAGCATTTTGACACTATATTTCAGAATGCTCTGCTAGATTGCCTAGCCAGCAGAGCATTTTTCACACTACACCGGTAATTATGAATGCCTTGTTAGTTTACTTAGTCATCTAAGCATTCGAGGAGAGCATTTTGCACTATATTAAGACATGCCCTGCTAGATTGCCTAGCCAGCTGAGAATTCCAGCAGAGCATTTTAACAATTTATTTCAGAATGTTCTGCTAAATTTCCTAGCCAGCTGGGCATTTTTCCCACTATATGAAGGAATGCCCTGCTATATTGCTTAGCCAGCTGTGCATTCCAGCAGAGCATTTTTACACTGTATTTAGGAATGCCCTGCTATAATGCTTAGCCAGTTGAGTATACCAGCAGAGCATTTTTACACTATATTTTGGAATGCCCCACTAGAATGCTTAGCCAGATGAGCACTCAAACAGAGCATTTTACTCTATATTTAGGATTACCCAGCTAAATGGCTTAGCCAGCTGAGCATTACAGCAGATCATTGACTTCCCAAAATAAATTGAAATGCCATTTTGCTTAGCTCACTGTTCACTGCTAACTTCTCACATACCTTCTAAATACACACACAAAACAACATCATCAAACAATAACAACTATTCCATATTGCAATTAATATTTGGTCCTATAAGAAACATAATTTAGTTGTTTTGAAAAATGTCCCTTTTCGATGTTAAAATATAACATTCATACGTTTTCTTTCACACGTAATTAACAAATAAACATGTATTATAAGTATTACAACATAATGACCTAATGTTTCTTTTAATGTGCTGTGATCTTCTCAAGCCTACTTTTACTGTTTTGAAAAAGTTGCTTCAAATATAAACCAATGAATCAGGTATTTGAAAATTCAATCTGAATTATTCTTTTTGAGCACAAGCACCAAGACCCAAGGCGCCCTACCGCATCCCCAATAACGCGCAAATGCTTTTCCTTGAATATGAAAACATTTTAAACATACTGTACCTCTTTTATACTCTTGTTTAATACAACACTAAATTTAATGTCAAACATGCATTGGTTTTTAACTCAGTTTCATTCGTGACGATTAACAAAGAAATAAGTTAATACCCATTTCACATCTTAATATACACATAAAGCATCGTCAATCAATAAACTTTTTGAATCTGTACTAAATATTGGTGAATAAGTCTACCATATCTAATACAGTTTAAAGGTAATGTGAATGTGGTTTTTCTTCCTTTCATGAATAACTACATAACATTGAATGGTATTATATAATATGTTTGGGGGATCGATTGACTCAATCAAGTCTAAAGTTACACTCAGTGGAATTTTGAACGGATGCGTAAAGTGACAGCAGACATACGTGTGTTCGCGCATGTGTGTCTGAAAGATAGTGGGACGGGGGAAGGAGATTAGGAGACTAGAGAATGTTTTTGTCATTCCTAAGTATTGTATGTGTAACAAAGTCATCAACTATGTTTGATTATACGCGATTTTTAGTACTGACCATCCAAGAACTTTGGAGAAACTTTTACACGTGGTATATCATAATGCGTTTCTCCGTAATATTAACATATACTTTATACTCTAACCGATTTAGAACTTTTTCTATGTTAATGTTAACACTGCAAGTACGATCTCATTATAACATACATAGGTATCTGTATACTTGACATTCATACGATTATTTATGCAAAATTATTGTACTTTCTTACGCTCGGTTTCATAAGCAGAATTAGAACGTCAAAATTAAAACATCTGCTTCATAACTGACGTATTTGGGTGTTATGTTGGGTTGAATAATCCCATTAACCCATTCAATGCCTTGAAACAAGTCAACAGAGTCCATTTGTCGCAGATTGTTTAGAGATTTCGATTCATACAAGTATTCCCATTTTAATAAAAAAATCGGATGTGAAAATAGTGTCATGAAGGTAATGTTACGCCGCATATAGCTCTCCCGTTAGCTCTTCAAAAGTTATACTTGTTAAGTAGTAACGAATAATTTGTCAACAGCATACATCAATGTCAAAACTGATGGCTCGCTCCGACGAATAAAGCTCCCGTCATGGAGCTGGTTTATAGATAACGACGTCACATTACATGATGTTGATGATGAAAATGATGATGTACTGATGATTGTGATGATGATTATGTTGGCGATGCTGATGATGATGTTTAATGTTTAAAAGAGAAATCGGTGTGTATTGAAAACATAAACATATGCAAAAAATATTTATCACATACCCAGGCCGCTTTTGCGACTCCGTATAAATCTTATTGCACGTGCATATATTTTGACGTGAGGTCATTTGCGTTGTACAAACATATGTGACTGTATAGACGCGCTTAATGTAAGTGTTACGCTAAATGTATAGGCGCGTCGATGAAAAGATGATTCTTTTTAACTTTAAACAGTTTTTTTTGTGGCTGAACTGTGCTCTAGTAAATTCAATGTCGCTTACAGCCGTGATCCGAAGTGAAAACTACCACCACCACCTTTTTTATCAGATTTATTTTTAACTTCTCGTCTGAGTTGAAAATTATGGTGAAAATGAGGTATTTTTGAATTTCATTATATGATATACAAAGTACTTTTAATGTCAATTTGGCATAGTTGGAGTCATGCAGCAACTTTCAAGCTTTTAACAGTGGATGGCGGCCGCTTCTTGGCTTCTTTCCTTTGGGCGAATAAGGACCTCATAAAAATCATCTAGATCTTTCCCTTAACGGACACAGGAAGGAAATCTATAAGGAACCACGAAATGTCAGCAAGCTATTTAGAGTGTTAATTAGCATGGGGTTATTCATCAGGTACCACAGAATTCAAGTTACAAGTTTCAAGTTATTTCAAGTTTAATCTTATAAGAAAAATTAAGAAACTTTTTGAGCCTTTAAAATGCTTTTTAATAAATTAAGTTTTGACTTTGTGATCAATCAATATAATGAAATACATGAACCGACAATGACTCGCAGCTTTGCTTGTTCGGTACTCTGATTGCAGTCGGTTTACAGTTAGGACACAAAAATGATCAATCACCATTACTGATATTGATATTCAGGTAATGACAGTTCATGATTTTACAATCTCGTCACAAACGATAGAATTTTAGCATTTACGTGTTATGTGGGATATTCAATTTATACTAATTATTAATTTTATCAATCTAAAATTGTAATAAATGCAAAGATGCTCCTTGTACAGATGTCTAGAAGATGTTTCCTTCAACAATTAACCAGTGGAATAATAAATAAATAGCTGCTTGTTCCAAAATAAAGCTTACCAGCAGGTGTTAAGTAAATGAAGAATTAAAGGACTTTAACGAAGTCCGCTATTTTGAAAAAAAAGAAGAAGAAAAAAACAACAACAATGTCAATCATAGAAAGTAATGGCCATCAGCAGTTCGGTAGCTGTTAAGGTTGAAGGATTTAAAACTGTTCAAAAGCAAGTCAAGCTGTTACGACGATAAATTATTTTAGACAATATTAGCAGCAACAACCACAACATTTGCAACAACAGTTGTGGAATTTACGATTTAAAGTACGACGGCATGGCTTATGGATAGCTTTCCGTGTTGGTTCAAATCCTGTCAGGAGCGAGCCGTTTTGACTTTGAGCAAGACACTTTACACTCATTGCTTAGTACTGTGTTGTTCCATGAACGGATTCTAGACTGTGCCTTTAAGCTTTAAGCTTCTTACACAATAATTACTGTAAAAACTAATTTTGGAATTTAATGTTCATGACAATAGCAATTTCCAGATTTTAGGGGTTTCATCTATTTTGAATAACACCAAAAGCAACAGTGAAATTTATCCAAATAAAATTTTCTAATAATTACAACGACAACAACAACGACGACAACAACAGTGGCAATAACAGTGAAAAAAGGACTTTAAAAAGTTGATTGTCATATTTAAAACGTAACGTTTGGGACTCTTAGCGGACTAAAACTGTACCGAAAACGAAATGTCGATCATTTTTATTTTTATTTTGACCATTGGTGGATTAACTCATATGAAAAAATACAGACTATATTCGAATAATGCTTTTGGAAGGTAACTTACACTTAAATCTCACCCGTAAGTCCTATGTGTTTACTTGATTAAATATTCGAAACAAGGGCCGGGAAGAAAACAACATGCAGGATCTAAATGAATTTTTGGAATACAGATTAAGTAAGTATTTATGGAAAAGTTTCCCTCCAATTTTATTAGTGCTTGGCACGTTTGGTAACACGTTAGCAATTCTAGTACTGATGCAGCGTAAGAATCGCCGTTCAACCTCGGCGTTATTCCTGATAGCGCTGGCAAGTGCAGACATTTTGGTTCTTTGGTTGGGTCTTCTAAGACAGTGGATAAAGTATACGTTTGGTTTCGATATAAGGGACGTATCTGTAACAGGCTGCAAGATGCACGTTTTTCTCGTGTATACAGCGTTTCATTGTTCATCATGGTTTCTAGTTGCATTCACATGTGAACGATTTTTAGCCGTGTTGTTTCCACTTTGTGTGAATGGATTCTGTACCTATAAAAACGGTATTTGTTTAATTGCATTACTGACTGTAGGGCTTGTCCTTTTAAATAGCCACTTGTTTTATGGAGTAACCTTAATACAGTATGTTTCCAGAAATTCTACAACACGTTGGATTTGCGACGTCGTGAATGATGACGTTTACCAGAAATTTCACAAGACATGGGTATGGATTGACAATTGTATATATTCGTTGATTCCATCCTTGTTACTCCTAATTGTTAACTTATCAATTATTTTACGTCTAGTATGGAGGCGATTAGAAAGAAGAACACACGTTGTACTGGCGTCATCAACTAAAGAGAAACTGCCCCAAATCACAGCAACACTTATCACGACCAGCTTGGTGTTTGTTTTATGCACAACGCCAATATCGGTAATACTTATTGAATATGCGCACGGGCATCATGATTATGAATCCAATACTCGAGCATTTGCACTATTTTCATTAAAGTGGGTCTTGGTCAACATTCTCAGTTATATGAACAATGTTCTAAATTTTGTGTTATATTTTCTTAGCGGTTCAAGATTTAGACGTCAAACAAAGGATTTTCTCTTTACATCTCTAGGAAATTGCAAGCCAAAACAAGAAATAAATGTTATAACATGAATTTAATTTAGATCTACATGTACATGTATGTAAATATAAACAAACGCGTGTATGTGTATTAATTCCTGAGAGTGCAAATTCGGGTCCTTAAAGATTGAACTTAGTCTAACTGACGGTCATATGTTAATTTTGTATATAAAGAAGTGATCTTTATCAATTGTATTTTTTACATCGTTTATATAGTTTTTGTTTAGTGCCCAGCTTTATTTGTCAACAATGATTCAAAATTATGTGTTAATTTTCATAGAAGAACTAAAGTCGATACTATATCAAATCCATTCATAGTCATAGCATTTGTAAAAGTAGTCATTTTCATAAATTTGCACATGCGCTTTCGTGTGCCGTTTATGAATATTAATTTACTTAAAAATGACGTCAAAAGGCCAACATACATCAATTTTGTATTTATGGATAAAGGATATACATGCAGTTCAGATTTAATCCGCGTCTTGGAGAAAAAAAATGTTGCACGTGTAAACGTAAAAACTCATAATTAACACATTTATTTAATTTTACCCATGAAATATGGTGCTAGATCTATATCAGTTAAATATATTTCATATTTTTTAAATAAATATGAAATATAAATATGAAAGTGGGCGGAGTCAAATCTCATATTTTTTAAGGGACTTCTTTCGCCATTTTGTTTGCAAAATTTGATAAATGCAAAACAACTTTTTGTTGAATTTGTTTTGAAAACTGTCTAGAATGATAGAAAAAGGTCTAACTAAGAAAATAAATCCGACCATCAATATAATAAATTATTTTATTCAGTCATTTTACACAATCATTTGATAAGACCATCCTCACGTGATTTGTGTGAAAGGCAGTGGTTACTGGCCGTAGCGTAACCGGTGCCCGGAGTTTGTACAATTGCAAACTCCTCGCAGCGGTTACTTCCCTTTATAAGTACACTAATTACTTAATTAAGGGGAGATCACTGTGTGGAGATTGGTACAATTGCAGCAAGCAAGGGGGCTCGTAAACATTTTTCTTTGATAATGAAATTAAATAAAAAGGTTATTTTTTCGTTTTTCGTGAAATATGGTATATATTTTCACTCAACATGATAAAATGCCACATATTTTCACTCGCCGTTCCGGCTCGTTAAAATAGGTAGCATTTTATTATGTTTCGTGAAAATATATTACATATTTCACTCAAACAAAAAAATATCCTCTTAGTATCTTTATTATGAATGTAGGAAAATGTCTTATTTAATTTGTTGCTATCGCCGCACCCGTCGAAGTTTCTAATTTCTGTAGAACAGTACACAAAAATATATACTTAGTAAATACTATTTTCATATTAGCGTAGTAAATTTACAACCGTTCTTTCATAAGGATAATTATGAGCTGTCTGGCATTAAAGGTTTCAAACGGGCTACACACATATTCTAAAACTATACAATCATGTGTGTTTTAATTGATAGTATTTTAATAAGGAAGATCTATACATGTATATGTCACGAGCTAGAAAGATATTTATACCCGATGGGACAGCATTGTTCAATTATTTATTTCTGAACTGACAAACATTGTTTTCAGATATAAAAAACATGAAATAAAATCCAGTGTGCCCGAAAAAATGTGGAGAAGGTTATTATATAAACATTCACAAAATGACATCACGAATTTCAGAGAAGCAAAGGAAAAACTTACTTTCGACTGCATCCGCCATCTTGTTTGAACGAACGGCGTGATTCTCCCCTTTCGGGCATTTCATGATGTTTCGATCTGAATACGCGTCACCAGAATCGACGCGAGAGAATTTTCCGCCGGTTTAATCGTGATAACGAACGGCTTCTTCTCTCAAATTCACTATTTCCTTTACTTATATATGCGTATTACTTTAAAAAGTTGTAATATGTCATCATCTAAGCATTCATGCTCATTCTGCTGTAAATATTAATATCGGGGCATTTAGCGGAAATGATAACGTATGGCGCACAAAATTTCAATGATAACGTACGGCGCATTTTTCTACTTGGTGGATTTCCATTTGTCCAGCAAAAGCCCAACAAACTGTTCGCTTTAGAGCTTTTTATTATATAGACGATGGTCGCCCTAAAGACAGACATCTATAAAATATCAGGTTATAAAATCAGTCTGTCTTGCAGTCGAAATATTGAGACTAGTAAGGCTAGTGATATGCTGGTAATTCTACTTGTAATGCTACTTTATACATACATGTATTCTGTTTTACCATACATTGAAATCCGTATGGGTTACTAGTTCAGAATCAGATAATTACAAATAATTACCGATCATCGAATATTTGCAAAGTGACTTTGAAAATATATATGTTTAATTATTCCATGAAACAATGCAGTTCTACTGTAAAAGTGTTGTCCATCATTATTTTGCGCTTTTGAAAAAATATATAATTTAGTTGAAATCAATACATGTATTCCCATCGTTACATACGATATAATTAACGTTTTATTGCCTTTCAGTGTGATACACTATCAACATAATGATAGTTTTTTCTATGTATCTTATACAATTTCGGACCCCTACCGTCATATCGTTTTGGAAACCTGCGCGACGGACACCGAACGGAATATAACGAAATCAACGATTACCATTATATATTTCAATAGTGTGCCTCTTTAGCATAAAATTATTTTGTGATGTTCAACCTTAACAAAACTTTTGAACGTTCTTGTCAAAATTGCCAGAAAGGGCCAAGTTTAACCCTTTACCAAGAAAAAAAGAAAACGTTTTGAAAATCTATTTCCAATGTGTAAAATATGAGTATACAGGGTTTTCTAATGATATGAAATATGAAACTGATTAATGAAAAATAACTTTGTAACTATTTATACAAAATTACAATGATTTGCATGTTATCAGCTGCCATACCTTTTGCCAGCCATTAACAAATTACCTGTATGTCTTATCAGCAATCTGTTTCTATAAATAGATTTTACAATGATAACATACAACTTGTAGAAGAACAGGGAGAATTTGTTTTTATTTTATGCTTTTCAGTGGATTACTGATTTATCCGTGAAAATTATATTTGGTAATTTCTCAGTGAAAATTATCAAAATATAATTTCACTTTTTTCAATGACGAAACTACTTTTTTAATATTTTCCCCATGTTGTACCTCAATTTTATTTTTGCTGACAATTCAGACAATGTCAGGCTATTTAAAGAAAAAGGAATGCTGAAATTGATAAATACCTTAAACGTAAAAAGTAATAAAAAGAAGAAAACTTACTTCTATTCATTCAAATTCCAATCACCAAATTTCGTCTCTAAATTTTTTTGTTTCATTTTTACAGTCTGAAAAATACATTCCTTCCACATGCAAACTGCTCTTGATGACATTTGGGCATATTAAAGTATCCTACGAGTAATAACTGCCGTATGCTTTATGAAAAATTGAAAAGCTATGACAGCTACAGCTCGTAGAACAAGTAAACCAACCCAGCGTTCCAAGCAAGTTCCAAGTCTTCCATTTTCATAGCTGCTTTTTTCATGTTTTCACATCTGTCAACACTTAATTTTTGTCTGTTTCAATCCTCAAATATGTTTTCTTTCTTTTAAAAGGGTGTATGACTAACAATTCCAAATGATATCCCTCTGAATCAAACACAAATTATTTTCCTCCCGTGAAATACACAACTTTAAAAAATGGCTGCCGCTTACATTTAACAAAGCCAGGTCTAATATAAATTCTCGTGAACTTTAAAAACAGTATTCTCACTCGTGGCTACGCCACTCGTGAGAATACTGTTTTTAAAGCCCACTCGATGAAATAAAATTTCATCTTACACACAAACAAACAAATATCCTCTATATAATTAGATAGAATAATGAAATATAATAGGTCTCATAAAATATAAACAACCAAATAATTTAAAAGTGTCATTTCAAATATCATTCATGATTTATTTATCATAAAATAGAAACGCTTGACACAAAGAAAAAGGTACAAGTATCCCTAAATTCAATGACTGATCCTTAGGGATACATTATTTATTCATTTTATGAAAATAAATGTAATATTGCTTTTTAAGATGTCAGTATGTGTATATTACATTTCATTGAGCAAAGTCATCATATTTTTGAATTTTTGAGATTACTGAAAACTATTTGCGGTCTTTAATTGTTCACTAATTGATATAGAGGTTTTTTGTTTGTTTGTGTGTAAGATGAAATTTTATTTCACCGAGTGGGCTTTAAAAACAGTATTCAGAAGTTTTTAACGTTCACGAGGTGAACTAAAATTACATCTTACAAAACAAACAAACAAATTTTCTTTTTATTTTATGCTTAAAAACAAGTTAAAACGAAATTTCCATAATATTAACGTTAATATTAAAATTTTGTTGTCCCCGTTGAGAGCCCCATTTAGTCGGAATTTCTCATCAAATACAAGAAGTCTTAAGCTTAAAAATAAGTTCGACAATCAACGTTAAATGACGGTGATATTATTCATTTTATTTAAAAATATGAATGATCGCTTATTTTAATAATAAAACAAACAATTCTTGTAGGAGAAAAAGTCCAACCATCCATCCATATTTCTGTTACTTACTGTGAATTTATAATAGACCTGGCTTTGTTAAATGTAAGCGGCAGCCATTTTTCAAGTTGTGTAATTCACGGGAGGAAAATAATTGTGTTTGATTCAGAGGGATATCATTTGGATTTGTTAGTCATACACCTTTTAAAGAAAAAAAACAAACGTATTGTAACAGACAAATAATAAGTGTTGACAGATGTGAGCAGCTAGGAAAATGGAAAACTTGGAAGCTGGCTCAGGAACGCTGGGTTGTTTACTTATTCTGCGAGCTGATAGCTGTCATAGCTTTTCATTTTTTCATAAAGCATACGGCAGTTATTGCACATAGGATACGTTAATATGCCCAAATGTCATCAAGAGTAGTTTTGCATGTGGAAGGAATGTATTTTTCAGACTGTAAAAATGAAATAAAGAAAATTAGTGACGAAATTTGGTGATTGGAATTTGAATGAATAGAAGTAAGTTTTCTTCTTTTTATTACTTTTGACATTTAAGTTTTTTATCAATTTCAGCTTTGCTTTTTCTTTAAACTGCCTGACATTGTCAGAATTGTCAGCAAAAATAAAATTGAGGTACCACCAGACCTGGGGATGATTACATTGATCAGTAATTGATTTAATTACAATTACTTTCTGATTTTATTGTAATTGATTTCTATTGATTACTCAGACTTACCTCTGTAATCAATTGAATTACAATTACTCTAAGAGAGTAATTGATTGATAATTGATTACATTCAATGTAAAATAGAATCCCTACTGATGACCATACCTGAACTAAGACCATCCCCTTAATAAGACTATTTTTACAAGATTCTTTGTGTCAATTGTTACATGATCCAGAATTAAGAACAACCGCTTATCCACTTTTAAGACTACCTAATTCAGTCCAAATTCTTTGCTTTATTCTCAATTTCACTCAACTATTGAGACCACTGATATTAAAATCAACACCTATCTAGATCTTAAATTTGTTGTTATGATCTGCTTGAATGTTTTGCATGACACCTAATTTCAGAAGGTGTGAAAAACTGTTATTATTCGGTTATTGTATGAAATAATGTGAAAAGGTAAATTTTAGAGTGGTTTAATGTTGCTTCTAGCAAATTTATTTTTATGAAAAATTAATTTTTATTTGATAGGTGATTTATGTACATCATATAATAATTGATATTGAAATCTGCCCAAAGAGAATTTTAAGTAAATTTTTTTTCAGAAATATCATTATATGTTTTCCTCTCATCAGATATCAAAACATACTTTTATAGTGTCTTTTATATTGCCCTTGTAGCTGTTTTTTTTTTCAAACAAAACGACTAAAACAGACCATTGTCATAAAGTATGTAAGCAATGATAAGAATGTTCACAGTTAAGACCACCCCACAATTAAAACCACTTTGGTCCAGCCCAGATGATGGTCTAAATTAAGGGCTTTTACTGTATAAATGTAAAACAAAAGTTACACTGTATCATGTGAAATAATGGCATCATTTGAATTGAAATAGTTTCCTGTAAAATCTGAAAGTAATCAATGTCAATCAAATTGTAATCATGATTACTGACAGAATTTTAGCTGTAATTGATTAATTACAATTACATTAATCAATTTTGGGCAAGGTAATCAATTACATGATGATTACAGTGTAATCATGTAATCAATTAAAAACTCAATGATTACAATTAATGATTACCCCAGGTCTGGGTACCACATAGGAAAAATCTTAAAAAAAGTAGTTTCGTCATTGAAAAATGTGAAATTATATTTTGATAATTTTCACGGATAAATCAGTAATCCACTGAAAAGCATAAAATAAATGGTCGTGAAGCGGCTCATATTAATAAATACTGAGTAAAGGATATCTTTTTCAAATTATCATATAATTGAATTATACCTTTCTTTCCCTGTTAGCAGTTTGGCACCGTGAAAATTACAAGCAATCCCTTATAAATTATGTAATCTAACATTTCTGAAAAAAAAGTACAAATGGTAACTCTTGAGTTAAAAAAAAAACAAAAAAAAACAAAACAACAACAACACCGACAACAAAGCACAGACTTGAGAAGCAATATATCGTTTCAATATCTATATAAATATTTTCACAATTTTGACCACGACATTGGCTTCACAAGTTGTGAAGGTCCATAGTCAATCAAGCCAAACCTTGCAGCGCATAAAAACATGCATTTCATGTAACAAGAACTTTTTTCAGTAAATATTTACAGATGAATGTAACAGAAAAAGAAAAAAAAAACGGTTACTTTAAAGATCGATTTGACATATAGAACGATATGTGTACGTGCACACATTGTCATTCCAACGATAATTAAATTTATCTGGAATAAGATCCATGCAATCTTCGCCCCCAGACGATGAATCCGGTTGCCCTGGTTGCCAATTCCTATAACCATTTGAAACTCTTGTGTTGTCTGACCATCGAAACTGACCTTCTTGGACTTTGTCGTTACCACCAAGCCAGTGACTGCCGCCGTCTTAAAAGTAGTCAAAATACGTAGCTAATTAAATCGAATCAATAATACTTTCGGATGAGGTTGTCGGTAGAGTTGTCATCGATAGAAAAAATATCGATGTATCGATGATATTTTTCTGTCGATCAAAAATCGATACACATTTTAAAAAAAAATCGATAATTTTGACTCATTGATTAAATGACTAGAATTTAAAAAAAAAATCAGCACAAACATTACACAGAAGCAGTTGTCCATGTCTAACACTATGCTGTTGTTACATAACAACATAACAGAAATATTTCATAGCAATATGAATGCAATCGGCATTTACAAACAAGCAACTGAACAGAACATATATTTTACTGAAATCATCTAAAGAGGCATGAAAGTGAATGACAGACAAGATAATTGTCGATATATCGGGGTATCATTGATATCGGTCATCCAATATCGATATATCGGTGTATCATTGATATCTGCCATCCAATATCGATATATCCGTGTATCATTGATATCTGTCATCCCTTATCGATATATCGGTGTATCATTGATATCTGTCAACCTATATCGATATATCGGTGTATCATTGATATCTGTCATCCGGTATCGATATATCATTGATATATGTCATCTTTATCGATATATCGGTTAACCATTAATATCTGTCAACGTATGTCGATATATCGATATATTACTGCTATAACTTGATCTGAAACAATGACAGCTCTAGTTGCCGGGTACTACGTTATTTCAGCTGAACAAATGGGTGGACATACAAACTTACTGCTAGTTGAACTGATAAGCGACCTTATAAATGATTGCTCCTCTTGTGACTTAATATCGGCAAGATGTCCGCCTAACGATTCACAGTTCCACTGAAAAATAGAGGATATACACGTAGTTTTAACGCTTGTCGATAGATTTTCTTTTTAATTCTTGTAATGATGGTGAGTGTATAAGTAAGGTAATGATAATAATAATGCAATGATAATAACAGTACAGTAATGATAATAATTAAGAAAATGAAAAAGTTAATGGTAATGATAATTTTTTTTTAATGATGATTATTTGAAAATAATTTTTTATGGTGATGATATTGATGAGAAGAGCAGCTCTGGAGACGATAAAATGAAACAAAGATGGTTCGATAATGATGATAATGAGTATGATGATTCAAGCATGATGATGATGAATGATAATGATGATGATTCGATAATGATGATGATGATCAGTCGAAAATGATTATGATGATGATGATTCGATAATGATGATGATAAAGATGAAGATGATGATAATGATGGTGATGATGATGATGACTCGAGAATGATAATAATGATGATTTTTCAAGAATGAACATTGATGATTGATATGATGTTCGATAAAATTTGATATGATTGATGATTTGATGATTAAAAATGAAGATAATTTGATTTGGTAAAGATGATTTGATGGGTTGATTCGAGAAAGAAGAATGATGATGAACGAGAGTGAATAGTGTTAACCCAACTTATACGATAAAAAAAATTAACCCAATTTTAAAATTTTAAAAAAAAGAGTGAATTATTCTTACCTTTGCATTTGCCCATGACATTTTGGTGGTGACAACTACATAACATGACATTTCATACAGTGTTTGATTGCTGGCGGGACATCCTTGAAACAATAGAAACAACCACATATTCAATATCATCAAATTACTTACCAGTAAAAATGGAAATAAAGCTTCTATCAAATTGAACATTAATTAGATTTTATTAACCGTTTTGTGTTTGTCTACAAAATGAGATTCCATGACAAAGTAGCAGCAACAACAACATAATAGATAGATAAATAAATAAATAAATAAATAAATAAATAAATAAATAAATAAATAAATAAAATAAATAAATAAATTAATTAATTAATTAATAAATATATAAATAAATAAATAAAAATGATAAAATTCATTGCAGTTACTATTTCAAAAATATATATATAGAGGACATTCTTATGCAAATATAAAAGAATTCAACAGTTATTTAAGCAGTTTAACTTAATAAAAAATTCAAGATTTCCGACACTTATTGTTTATACCTCATCTTAGCTATTCCGAACTGTACAGAAAACTAAATCAAGGAAAACTCCTTGAATTTACCCACTTTTTGTTGTTTGTTTTTATGTTTGTTTGTTTTTGGTTGGGTTTTACGTCACATCAACACTGTAAAGGTCATATGGCGACTTTCAAGCTTTATTGGTAAAGGAAGACGTCAGGTGTCCCTCTGTGCATTATTTCAAGCAGCAACGGGCACCTGAGCAGAACCACCGACGTTTCGTAAGCTAGTTGCATAGCTTCCTCATATGAAAAAAATCTAAAGTCCCTTGCGGGATTCGGTCCCACAGTGGTGTTTTCGTTTTGTCACAAGACCGGAAGTTCCACTTTATTTAAAAAGAGGCATTTTGTGACACCGATTCACCACACGCTGGTGTATTACTCCAGCTTCCGTCAGCCTGGCACGTAATGCTAGCGTCTCCCCATAATGTAAAGCCTGAGTCACAGATTATTCTTATTTCAGAACCGTAAGTATACACGTTGCTATCAGTGGTTCCATACGGCGGAGTTGGTTCATCACAGTCTGTTTAATTAACAACGTGCTAAATTCACTATTATCAAATACCCGTGCCGATTTTGCGACTCCGTAAAAATTATATTGCACGGCGATGCATATATTTTGACGTGACGTCATTTGCGTGATGCAAACATACAAACTCCTCACAGAGATTACCTCCCTTGGCAGAATTGTACTTTTGGATATGTGATAAATAGAATATCATACTCGTGTAGGTTCATTACTGAATTTATTGAACTCGTTGTACATGTATATGGTAATATTTGCTTGACAGAGGCTCGCATGATATAATTATATTCAACTCGTTCAATAAATTCAGTTTTGAACCTACACTTATTAAATATCCTCTATTTATTGAGCATTATCTTCATTCGAATATCACTGTGAAGTATAATGGGAGGTATTTGTTTTGCTTAATAACGATATTTTATTAACATAATGTATATTTAATATAAGTGTTAATTTAATATGAATAGTCTGGGTTTTGTTTCACCGTGCTAGAACTTGAATAAATTTGTACAGAAATACTTGCAAATCATTTTAATAGTGGCAATGGGTTTGCAGAAAGTCCATATAATACTGTAATATGTATAGTTTGATTATAATTATTTGACCACGGATTTATATCATAATTAAGATCCGTGATTTGACATACCAACGCAAGAGGCACTGCCATCCCAACCACTAGGAGAACAAGTTGTTGAAGTGTCGCCGACGTTAGCATACCCCTGGTCACAGTTAAATATTGCAGTGTTCCCTAAGATCGTACCACCTGACGTATCTACCTGCCCGTTATCGAAGGGTGGTGGCTGTCCACAGTCTATGAAGATACAGATATTCATTTTCAAACTGTTATATTTATCATGACTAAACATTTATACATTACGTATGTACAATTTGGTGATAAAAATGATTTAATGTGTTTCTAGCCTTACTTGAAACGTTTGAATATTTTGATGGCTGATTATGTCTTACAATGTATATTGTTTTAATTTATGGACATCTGTGGCCGTATAGCTTTATCAAGGCGCTAACTTCAAACTGTGGGTCACGATCCCAATAATTTATTGTAAATTCTTTTATGTGGAAAAAAAATATCATTTTAGGTTTAAAGGTTTTAAAATTGGGGGGTTCAAAATCATGTGCCAGTTCGGGATTTGGAAAATTTCTGGGATTTAAATAGTTTTTGTTAAAAATTTCCCCCAAAAAAACCCCCATATTTATACTAGAAGTGTCGGGGGGAAAGGGTTTTTTTCGGTTAAAAACCCCCTAAAATTTCAAATATTTCCACCCGTTTAAAAAAATTTCTTTTCCCACTGATGTAAAATTTTTAAAAAGTGATTGAGAAACGATTCACCCTGCCGCATTTGGGCCCCGTCAAACATTTAAATTTTAAAGTATGAAAAAAATTTTTCATTTTTATTTGGGGCAAAGGACAAGGTTTTATCTTCTAAAAAAAGGTTTTAAAAATTTTTTTAAAACTGCAAAAATTTATCTTATAGGGCAGACTAAAACCCCCAGTTTGAAGGGATACTTGGGATGTTTGTCGCAAAAAAAAAAAGTAAAAAAAATTTTTAGGTTTTATTTTGATAAAAATTGTTATGGGGAAAAACGAAATTTAAAACCCCTTTTGGGTTTAAAAAAAAAAACAAAAATAGGGATTATTGAGGCGATATTTTACCCTTTTTTCCCGATTTTAAATGAAAAAGTTATTTTTATTAAAGCATAAAATAATGTCGAATTTTTATTAAAATTTCCCGTACGTTTGGGTCAATGAAAATTTTAAAGGGCTTTAAAAAAAAATTAAATTTAAATAAATTTAAAAACTGCAAGGAAATTTTTTTAAAAAAAAAATATCACGAATAAAAAAACAAAAAAACTGAAAGAAAATTGGGGGGGGATTTTTTCGTTTAAAAGGGAAATTTTTAATTTTTTTAAAATGGAATTTTCCTTTTTTATAAACTATGTAATAAACCTTAGTTTTCCTCTTATATTCTGAAAATTTTAAAAACTTTTTTTTAGCAACGAAAAAATTCATTATTTAAGATTCAAGCATCAATAAATTGACATAGTTATACATGTACCTAAACCACCGCACAAACTGCGGTTTTAAAAAATTTTATGGTTTACCCAATGGTGCAAAGATTTTTGGAATATATACATTAGTATATTTCGGGAACTCTTTTTATGAATAATTTCATATTATATGTTATATTTTGATATGTGGACTGCCGAATCACCCCCTAAGAGGTCCCGCAATTTTTCAAAATAAAACTGTTTTCCAAACTGTAGAAACCCATTCCTTAAATATACAGTTCTGTCTGCCTATAATTTTCATACATCTTTTTAAAAAATAAGTATAAAAAACATATCTTGCATATCAAATGAATATCTTCATAACTCTGTCATTATGTTATTATGTTTTAATAATTATTATGCATGTATATTTTTAAATGAAAACGATATAAATAATCTTAAAGGGAGGCGTTTTGTCCATAGGACCAAAATCTTAATGGAAAAATAGTTAACTTGGGTTGTTAGTGCGTGTTTTATTGGTTTTTTGTTGTTTCTATATATTGTTTAGAAGGCCACATTTTAAAATTAAATAAACCCGTTAAAATTTTTGGTTTTTCAAACGAATGGTTAAAATCTTTCATGCCTACCCCTTCTATAAATAAAGATTTATTATTATTATTATTATTATTATTATTATTATTATTATTATTATTATTATTATATAAACTGTGATTAATCTTACAGGTTTTAATAATAAAAAAATATTACCCATAGGTGTACACGTGGCACTTCCGTCCCATCCATTTACAGTACAAGTAGAGACGGTATCTCCCGAGAAATCGTAACCAGGGTTACAATAAAGTGTTGCTAACATTCCATAAGTTGTCCCAGATGATGCCGTGTACTGGCCATTATCAACTACTGGCGGCCCACAATCTGTACACAAAATTTATGATACACTTTTCTCACTTACAAATTGTTTCTTATTCAAATGGATGAACAAAAATATAAGGTCCTTAATTGTTGTTTCCCTTTTAAAGCAAATCTAAAGCAAATATCCCTGCAAATATAACCAAGAACAGTAGTTTATAAGTGTAACTAAATCTGTATATTAATTGTGTTGAATAATAAAATTTAATCTCCGTGAGAACTGGCCTTAAGGCACAGATCGAGAGCCTCATATATTGTGTGTGCGTAGAATTGGCACGATGTTGTTGTTTTTTTTTAAAGTAATTTTGTAATTATTGAATAAAATATGTAAAATGTTTAACTCCTGAAGTATGTAATGTTTAATGTGAAATGATGTGTGATAAAGGTAGCAAAATGTAACCGAAGTGATGATTTGGCTTCAATACAAAAATTCTTAATCGCCATTAATGTACTTATTTCCTACGGAACTCAGGTGGCTTAGTTACAGTGGCCAAAGAGTAACAAAAAAAACCATAAATAAACACCCAATTTTTGCACAAGAAATACTCTTGCAGAAATCATGTTTAAACAAGTTGCCAATGGGTTTTGCAGAAAGTTTCATTAATATTATATTTAGTTTGATTATATATTAATTTGACATACCAACGAACAAGCACGAGGCACTGCCATCCCAACCACTAGGAGAACAAGTTGTTGACGTGTCGCCGACGTTAGCATACCCTTGTTCACAGCTAAATATTGCAATGTTCCCTAAGATCGTACCACCGGACGTATCTACCTGCCCGTTATCGAAGGATGGTGGCTGTCCACAATCTATGAAGATACAGATATTTCAAACTGTTTAAAATTCAACATGACTAAGTCTTGCATATATAATATAGTGAGACAATTATTTCAGGTGTTTCTAGCCTACTAAAACGTTTTGTAGGAAACCTTGGATATTTTGGTGACTGATTATGCCGTATATTATTATAATCTATGGTCATCTTTGGTGGTGTAGCTTAATTTAGGCTGCTGATTTCGAAACACTTGCCTTCACTACTGTGGGTCACGATCCCAATAATTTATTGTAAATTCTTTCTTGTGAGAAAGCTTTGTTGGACCGTATAAGTCACGGGCCGAATATGGCACACATGTGACGGTAGCTAAGTAGTGGTAGATGGTAGGCTCTACTCATGTGCCCGTTCGCGTCTGAAATACTGCATGAAACACTGTAGTATCTATTAAAGTCTGCGAAAGTCGTGATATGATATTGGAAGTGTCGGAGGTAGAAAATACCGAACATGATTGAATTTCTTAAGCTATGATCCGTAATTACAAGTAGTTCGCACGTGCAAAAATACTTAACAAGTGAGGTAAATTACAAAAAAAAAATGAGATAAGGGTATTTGCTTGCTTGAGAATGGCCGCATGCCGCATGTCCAGTCTAACACAATGCATCATGCTCTATATTTGACAAAGGACTAGCTTTTTCTTCTAAAAATGGGAAAATCTTTTTAAGCTGCAAATTGACTAACACACAGTCTAGCACACTGCATGTTCGTTGTACACTTTGAATAAACTTACAGTTTTAAGATATAAATAATGCTTACCCATTGGGGTGCACGTGGCACTTCCGTCCCATCCATTTACAGTACAAGTAGCGACGGTATCTCCCGAGAAATCGTAACCAGGGTTACAATAAAGTGTTGCTAACATTCCATAAGTTGTCCCAGATGATGCCGTGTACTGGCCATTATCAACTACTGGCGGCCCACAATCTGTAGACAAAATTTATCTGTCCGAAAGGCATATTTAAAACATGTACATGTATAGAATACTTTTTCATTATATTATTATAAGCGTAAAAATGTTATTTTATTAGCGTTAGATAATTCAAAATGACTAAAAAAGGACACAATACTCTAATTTCACCCCTGTCCTAGAGTCAACGTCCTTTCTTTATTTTTCAGAAAGTCTGAATAACAAATGTTCATTTAGGGGGCGTTTAATTCCGATCACAATAATACGAAGCTTTACGGAAATGGCCGTTGATTAAAAAGATATTCATCCGCGTAATTTGTAATTGTGCATTTATTGACAATACTATAAGCCAAAGCTACTTTTAAACTTTGAATGCGTTGTAATTTGTTGGATACTTGTAACAAAATAAAAATATTTCTTTCTCTTACATCGCTAGTTTTAAGCTGTTTTGAGAACTACTTGTTGTTAGGTTTGTCGGGAACATAACTCCAAAAATACAAAGTGTTTGAAAGAAAAAAATCTTAGCATATTAAAGAGTAATGGGTTTTAAAGGAAGTAATATTATCAATCTACCCATAACGAGAGAATTAGACTTATTGCTGGCATAGTAGTAAAAGTGTCTGCCTTTTAACTCAGCTATTGCGGGTCCAAGCCCTCCTTGAGGTTCCTTAATGACATCCTAGGTACATTCGAGGAAACAAACACCCCTGCTGGGTTTTTTTTTTTTTTGCTAATCTGGCAAATTTAACATAAAGGTGTTTTTTTAAATATCACTGTGGAAGATGAAAAATGCAATTATATTTTTACAACTATTACATAAGTGAAAAGAGAAAAAGGGGTTTGGCTTTAAACGTGGTTCAAATTGCATACTGTGCACATAGTGTGCGACCAAACATACACAAACCGGCTCTGTCATTGCCCAGGATGGTGGGATAATATTATACGGAATACTAGTACATTGTACTTCTTTTAGTGCCTGTGGCGTTTACCTATCACATTACACGCTGCACTTCCGTCCCAACCATATTCTGTACATGTCACGAAAGAACTGCCCGATAATAAATATCCAATATCACAAGTTACTGTCGCATTTCTTCTTTCAGTTGTTCCAGAAATTGCTGAAAATTGCCCGTTTTCTATTTCCATTGTTCCACAATCTGAATACAATCAATAAAGTTAAAATTTGTTTTAGTGAACTTGTGGCATAGGAATCGTACTCTAGTTTTACAATAGAAAATATGTCGAGTGTTTAGTTATTGTTTAAGGGAGGTTTTTTAATTTACCGAATAGCAATGTGTTCTTTTTCAAATTACATTTTAATACAGAATTAGTACCTTACTTTCTTTATTTAATTTAAATGTTAGTTTGAGACGAACTGATTTTTAGAATTTTTTTTTTGAAATTTAATTTAAATAAATAAAAAAAGTTTCGCAGTTCCGAAAAAAGTACAGAAATGCAAGAGGCCACCAATATGGCTACAAAAAAAAACTACAACAACAAAAAAATACATATATGATTTTGAGGGGTTTCCATAGACGAAAGTACCGCTGCAAGTTTGAATACCGCGAAATAAAAATTTCGTTCTGAAACCCCGCGATGTTATCCAGTTCAACACGCATATAATAATGGTGATTTGACTCGGATAACCCCACGTGTCTGAAATAGTTTACGATTACGCTGTAAACTAGTTGCCAGGCCAGCTGATCTCAATAGAGACGGTGCAAATTAATACTCAACCATCAAGAAAAAAAAAGAAGAAAATATTACACATTACCGTACTCGCAAGAAAACCCAGTATGGGTCCATGTCCCGTTTTCCTGACAATGTGCAACGTTAGTTGTAGTAATGTTAATTACATAACCCGTGTCGCATAAATGCTTTACGCTATTTGGAGGGATATATTGCGTTCCTAAAACAACTAAATTGTCCTCTACAAACGGGTCGTCACAACCTGAAAAAATGTCGATTAAATGTTCAACAGCAATTGTTTGGAAATGTAGTCTTATTTTTTTTTATAAAAATCATACGAAGCCCCTTGCAAGAAAAAAAATAAATACATAAAAAACAACAGATAAATTAAGTCACGTTAAAGTTTGTTTCTTTTTCTCTTATTTTTTTTTAGAAGAAATCGTCTCAATATTTTTCTAATATCGCTGTGAACTTTGAAACAATATCAAAATGACGAAACTTTGCTAACACAATTGAACGCATTATAAAAACATTTTACATCCCTGGCAAAAATCAAGAACTAAGACCACCTTGACAGAAAACTGTGGTATTTGGTAAACAAGCCTTTAATCCAGAATGAAGACCAACTCACTATTGACCAGTTACTAAGTCCAGTTACACTAAGACCCAGCTGTGGTCGTAATATTGGGATTTTACTGTACAATTTAGAAACACAACATATTTCAAAACATTTTATAGTTTATTTTAAAATCAGAAAAAAAGATATAAATTTAAGATTGTATTGCTTTTAGAAAAGTTCCAATAGCCTATAAAAATTATAATCCTACTATTTAAAATCGTATTGTCAATTAAAACAACAAATGCGAAAACATAGTAAAGTAGCATGCTCGGGAATTGGATTGAAAACCGATATTTAGGGCGATTTTTAGCTCGATATGAGTCATTTTGCAGAATAAAAATAATCTTGAAAAAAACGAAGTTAGCGCGAATGATCTGAAAATTTGAATCAATATTATTGGTAAAAGACCTACATAAGATGGTGAGAGAAAAGAAAATATTTCCAGTTATGTCATGTCAAATGCAAAAGCCCCCGTTGATTTCCTTTAACTCACCGCAATAGTTATTAATGGTGCAATAGGCAAAGCTAAAGTTATAAATATTTTTGAAAGTGGTTTACTTTTACAAATATCAAATTTTTTTTACATCTCTGGTTGATCTGACATACCTGATGTTCTACACACAGTTGATATTGTTGTATTGACATACGAACCAATACTTCCGGTCGAACATGTTCCCAGTGGCGGGCATGTTTCACATTCATCAACATCTTTCTGTTTAATGTCACATGTGCAAAAGAGAAAAAACAGGATTCCTTTAAATCGACAAATTGAAAATATTTCAGGTTTTCTTTGATTGAGCATATTCATAAACGGTACTGGAAAGTGCAAGCCACTGTTCACGGTCCCTATCAACGGCTACAGTTTTCATACAGATTATATGATTTATTCGTGTACAAATGTATAGTTATTTTAGTTTTGGTTCTGGTATATCAAACTGAGAGCATATGTTTTATTCCTTTAACTTAATTTTTTGCTTATATGTTTAGTTTATGTAGCGGGTATTTGGTGGCAAACTGTGTCTCCATTGGTCAACAAAAGATTCAGTATTGATTTATTTAAATCGGGAAAAAATAAAAACAAAACAAAATGCCATGATGGAAAACGGTTGTTGAACATTTCAATTCATCATAAAAATATATAATTAAATAAGTGCATGTATAACATTAAGTAATTTGAGATTCTGACGATATAATTATAATTTCCATAAAAATCCGAATATTAAGTGTGTGTTGTTTTTTTCCAACGTGTATCACATAAGTGATCTCTCCAAAATGACCGTTATCCACTGTGATTGTTTATAATAGAAATAATGCGTAACTTTATTGCAAAAAATAAAATTTACAGGTTTAAGAAAAAATTCATAAACTTAAATAAACTTCATAAGATCTTTTTTAAAATCCTAATTAAGTATAAATCATATCATACTGTCTTTAAATACTGTACTGACAAAGAGATAATGATATTCATCATCAATATTGCTACATAAAATACGACACTGTCAAATAACGAAAAAAAAATGTTTTTTTGTTCTGTTAATGTATTTTCATGTATTTGTAAAACAGTTGTATTTGCAAATGTATTTTTTTTTTCAATTACGTGAATGAAATGATTTTGAAGTGTTGTTTTTAAGATTCATTTGTTCCTGCTGAACCTCACTAAATAAGGTATCCCTGAGAAAAGAAAGTGTCACAAAGATATAATTTTACACTTTTAATCACAGTGCAATAAACGAGTAATCTACAATATAGAAGAAAATTTAATTGGTTCTTTCAATGCATGTTTTCAACGTGAATGAAGCTACTCTTGAGTTCAATATGTCCTACGATACTTTGATTGGTAAAGTCCTAGCTTCTACATACACCACACGTGACATATAAATAGCCATTTTTATTTTGAAAAAAATATATATAATGAAAATCTTACAACTGAATTTTATTTAAAATATCAACACAACAAAATACTCAACTTTCTGGGTCACAGTACCGTTGTTTAACTATATTATGCGAGTATAGAGCTTTTTCTTCGCAACGTAAAAGATGTATGAAATATCAAGCCAAAATACTAATTATATGTATAATGTTTGGAGACAGCTGTAACTCCGTTAATGACAGGGTAGACGTATATTGACAAAAATTGCTTTAAATATGCAAAATGTCAATTAAAATTGAGATTATTTAAAACATTTTTGAAAACTTCTAATATATTTCCTTCAGTTCGAGTTAATGAAAATGCGTAAAGTCTTCTGGAGTCGTGTCGCTATGATGGTTTTAAAGCTATCATAAATACGTGATATTTTAAAAGCGTTGGTCTTGTGTCTGTTTAGCCTTTCTTAATTATTTTAAAATCAAGTACTTACTAGATCCCACTCCGATTTTACCCCGAAGAGGTATCCTGGCATTTCCGTCAATGTTCCTGGCGCGTTACCCGGGGTTGTTAAACTTGTGACGTCTTTCATACCCAACAAAAAGCACGTGTTTGAGCGTATAATGTAATTGATAAATTGGCAGCGTCTTCTCGTCTTACATTCATGTACACATTCTATTATGCTAATTCTAGGAATTATGTAAAATATGATAAGTTCCGAATTTTCGCTCAGGCTCACATCAACGAACGTCGAGATTCGAAATTTAATGTTATTAGAGGTCACAGTTAAAACAATTAAAGATAAACAAATAGATATCAAAAATATTTTCGGCACCATTCTTGAATTTGTACTCAACGCAAAACGACCTCACTAACTACTTGTAACATCAAACAGCACCGGTTAAAAGCTTTTTATTTGATATTGATTAGTTTCATAAATAGCTTTAACAGTAAATTGTCCGAGTCAGTAGAGGTCAGTATATAGCAACATAGAACTTCATTTTATACGGAACTCTTTCAAATGCTTATATACTAGTACTAGTTGAATTTTGAATAGCATAACAATCGCTGTTTTATCATAAAACAGAACGCCTCGTCAATATAGGTTTGGTTTTCATAATACATTACATGTATTTGTATCACGTGAGCAAGAAATAAAATAATATAAAAGGCTCGTGGGTCACCATTTTGCCAAAATTAATATTGATAGCCCTGTATTGTAAGTGTTGTGTGTATACTAGTATATTAATATGTACATTTGCACATATTTATGAATATGTACATTAAGCAATAAAAATATGTTTAAGTCAAATCAATATTTGAAAAAAAAATATAATATACGGTTTGTTCACTTGGATTGTTTTTAAAACAATACAATACACAAAATATGAGACGAAATGTACATTTAGCGTTTATTGTATATGTATGATAAGGATCATGCAAAATAAATAATGAAAAGCGTACACTTTACTTTGAAACATATTTATTCTAAATGAGCCGCGTCATGACAAAACCAAAAATGGGTTTGCGACCAGCATGGATCCAGACCAGCCTACGCATCCGCGCAGTCTGATCAGGATTCATGCTGTTCGCAATCAGTTTCTCCACTTTTAATAGGGTTTGTAAGCGAACAGCATGGATTCTGATCAGACTGCGCGGATGCGCAGGCTGGTCTGGATCCATGGTGCATCAGATTTTTTTACATATCAACTATATACCATCCACCAGTATAGGAAAAATCTTGAACTTGAAAAAAAAATGCGTTTACGTTTAGGGGAGGGGACACCTCTTTTTTAGACCCCCCGCCTTGTTTTGGCCGGGGTGTTTTAGGCTATTTGAACAATCTTTTTTTGTGCATGCATGTTTGCAATGAACAATAAAAATGCAAAATTGAAGACATATTTTATTTCATTCTCTTAAATGTACACTTCATCCCAACATGCTTTCTTACAATATCTGGAGATTTTTTGTGTGTGAATTTATAACGCACTATGTTGGTTTTGTCGTGACGCGGCTCAAATGTAATTTTTAACAATGTCTCACTTATGCACTGCGCATGTGCTAGGTTTATGTTTTGAAAAGTAGTTTTAATTGTATGAATATAATTAAATTTCTCGGGCAGGTAATTAAAAACTAAGGATTCAGACGCCAAATTTTTCACTATTCTGTTTAAATCATGATTCTCCAATCATGCAAAATTTAAGAAAATTCTCTGCTCTTTGCGTCTGTAAAAATACTAAAATTTCAGATGAGCGGGGGGGGGGGGGGCTTCTACTGCATAGATTGTTTTCTGATGTCACTTTGTCATTGTTATACGCTTGTGTACTTGTTTTTAATGATTTAATCTCGATTGGGTGAAAATATGCTTTTATATCGTTATCTAGCCATCGCAACATTTCGGCCCTTTCCGTCAGTATTCGGATTACTATGAATAATTGTCGAGTTGATGAGATGACACTTACCCACTTTAACTATATTTAAAGGCAACAAATGCGATACTTAGCATATTTGAGCCGCGTCACGACAAAACCAACATAATGAGTTAGCGACCAGCATGGATCCAGACCGGCCTGTGCATCCGTGCAGTCTGATCAGGATCCATGCTGTTCGCTTACAAACCCTATATTACAAATAGAGAAACTGATAACGAACAGCATGGATCCTGATCAGACTGCGCGGATGCGCAGGCTGGTCTAGACCCATGCTGGTCGCAAATGGTTTTGTCGTGACATGGCTCATATTTACTTCTGTAAAAATAAACTGTATATCAATCTTACAAAGAGAAATGCCACCGGATCGCATTGATCTATTTACATAAGGGCTAGGTCTTTCCGTATACTAACTGATATGCAATATCTATGTCAACATTACTATATTCCAAGCATAAAGTCATTTAATTCTACCATGTTCAGGAAATGGCTATAAATGACAATTAACAGCCTTAATATTTGAAATGACAGCCATGAGAGAACTTAAAGATGTACTTTATGTGTTCTTTGAAGATTATGTTTACAATTCAGCAAAAATGTCAATTTGCTAAAAACAATTCTGGCCTATAGAGAAAATTAAATAGTTGATACGCATGCATGCGCATCCGTTTCTTTTTTCGTAATAACTAGATGATATTGAAAGAGTGTGGGTTAAAGAACTAGTTGAATAAAATTATATTATGCAAGCCTCTGGTGAACAAAATATTTTTTAATTCAACGTCAGTAATGAACCTACACGAATTTAATAATTATTCTATTTACCAGATACCCAAAATAAATCGCGTTGAATTTGTTTGGGTCTCAGAATGTCAGAAAGGTGATGGTTGTGAGATTATAAACCAATTTGTTTTTGTATAGTGCCACAAATGCTATCCAGAGTTTTAATTGTAGTAAATTGGCTATAAGACTAATTGCAACCCAATGTTTATTTGACTTAAACAATTTGAAAAAAATGAGTTTCCTTAACTGGGGTGCGAACTCCAGACCTCTCGCTTCCTAAGCGAGCGCGCAAACCGCTTAGCCACGGTGAATTTATGTCCTAACTGCCTGAAGAAAACCATATTGTTCTGAATTAGGGTTTGTAACGACGCTAACTGTTGTATAACACTTGTGTAAATAATCATGGCGCTTACTATAAGCATGTATATCTATAAAGAAAAAAAACAATATTAGAAATCTTCGACCATTGGGGAATATTTTGCTTGAAAATTAATGCGCCAGTCATTTTATCATCTTTACGCAGTGATCTCCCCTGAATTTTTCGCGGTTAGTGTACATATAAAGGGAAGTAACCGCTTTAAAAAAGCGGACTACTTTTGGCATTTGCAATTAACAGCATTAGAGTCTGAAATTTCGCTACAATTATTCGTTTGGTCTGACGACCCAAACAAGTAAAAACTGTTTGAAGTGCATAAGAATACCATTTCATTGAAGCGTCTATAATTTAGCTCGTCTGTATAACGCAAATGACGGCCGTGCAATACCATTTTTACGGAGTCGCAAAATCGGCACGGGTATGTGATAAACTGTTTAATGAAGTCTGAATTTTGCGACGTCTGAATTTTGCGACGTCTGAACTAAACTGCAGTAACTTATGAAACAATTTGTACTAAATTGTACATGTACAAACTATAGTAAAGTTGTAACGTAGATATCCATTGTTCAGTTGATTTCTTGTCGGCAAATTGACTTTGATCTTTTATATTAAGTTTCATTTAGCCAGTAAAAGATGATGGTCTTTGTATTTTGAATTTTAAAGAGAACATGCACATGTTAATCCTATTGCCTGTAGCTTAATTTTTCATGTCTTTTGGAGCGAACGACAAAAGAGTGCAATGCATATATTCGAGGCATTCGTGAACATCCATAGAAGCACAAGGGCTCATTAGAAGACCGTGCCTGCAGGTAATAGGATTGCATAAGTTCGAAGACTTCTGAGCTCGACTTATCTGTCCAAAAATTATGACCCCCCCCCCCCGTCATGTCTCAACAACGAATGACAAACATATTAAAAGTTTACAAAGTTAACACAAAATCATATTTAACCAGTCCGCTGTCGTTTTTCGCAAGTATAACGCGAGGACACGGTATATGTAAAAGTAGGCCTATTGCAACAATTAAAATGCGTATGCTGCTGACATTGACAATCTTAGCTTTCCGGCAAGTTGCCTTGGTTACAGAGTAGACTGCACGGTTGAAACTCTAAAGTCAATGACATTCTGACGATTGCCAAATGAGCCGTGTCATGACAAAACCAACATAATGTGTTTGCGACCAGCATGGATCCAGACCAGCCTGCGCATCCACGCAGTCTCGCTTACCAACCCTATTTTAAGTAGAGAAATTGGTAGCGAAGAGCATGGATCCTGATCAGACTGCGCGATTGCGCAGGCTGCATGGTCTGGATCCATACTGGTCGAAAACACACTATGTTGGTTTTGTCATGACACGGCTCAAATGTAATTGTCCAGTGAGTTTTAAAAAAATTAAAGCTTCGTTTGTTTGATAAAATGTATATAGGAAGAGTTCTTGGTTATTGTTTAATGGATTTTGTTTTGAATGTTATATATGTTACGCATGAAAAGGATTAAATAAAGTTTGGTTTCCATTCTATGATGACATATGTTATTCCTGTATCCCATGTAATGTCATTTAAAGTATACTCGTCCATGTATATTGCTAAGAGATCATCACAAACATTTAGGTATAACTTTTTCAACGGATTTAAAATGGCATCAGCACATTGGTAACATTATTATATCAGCCTCTAAAGTTTTGAGTACCATGCGTGCACTTAAGTTTAAACTGAAACGCTCCACTCTAAATCAAATTTACATTTCATACATGCGTCCAATATTAGAATATGCCTCCGTTGTGTGGGACGGATGTACAGTTTACGAAAAACAATCACTTGAACAACTACAGTATGATGCAGCGCGCATAGTAACAGGTCTTACCAGGTCGGTATCGATCAATTCGCTTATAAAAGAAGTTGGGTGGGTTTCCCTCTCAGATAGGCGTAAAATACAAAAATTAGTTACGGTTTTTAAAGCTAAAAATGGTCTTCTTCCACAATACCTTGAAAACATATTTCCATCGCTAGTTTCAGAAACAACAAATTACTCGTTAAGAAACAACAACAATTACATAACCATAGCTAGGCGCACCGAAACGTACAACAAATCATTTATACCTTCTGCTACTGAATTATGGAATGCATTAGACACCGAAATTCGCAAAATTAATTCATTGAATATTTTTAAATCTAGAATGAAAGAAAAGTTTAAAGCCCCAGTAGTACCTAAACACTTTGTTTGGTATAAGATATTTGTCAGTTTTACATGCTCGTTTAAGGAACAATTGTAGCAACTTACACGCTGACCTTTTCAAAAATCATTTGAGAGAAAGTCCGACTTGTATGTGAGGGAACCTTTGTGAGGATGCCGAGCACTATCTATTTTGCTGTCCATTATTTAAACCTCAGAGACTTATACTCTTCGCAGAAACCAGAATATTTCATTATCTTAATGTTGAGCTATTACTGTGGTAGCAATTCTTTAGATGTTAACAATAATGAACAAATATTTGCTGCTGTCCAAAAATTTATCAAAACTACTGACCGTTTTAGAAACACATGTGTCACAGGGTGAGAAAAATGTGCAGCCTGACCGGGACTCGAACCCGGGACCCTCGGAATACCGTTCCGCGGCTCTCCCGACTGAGCTATCCGGCCGCTTACACTCCGGTCGCTTACACATCTTCTCCCCTAAATAGTGAACAGTTCTGAACCGTGACATACTTCACCACAATATTGAAATTCGTACTCGAATTTCACAAAGCTACAGAGCAATGCTAATTGAACTCTGATGTAGAGGCAGTCACGGTCCCCCGTTGGGCGCCAAATGTCAAAGGGTGAGAAAAATGTGCAGTCTGACCGGGACTCGAAGCCGGGACCCTCGGAATACCGTTCCGCGGATCTACCGACTGAGCTATCCGTCCGCTTACACATTTTCTCCCCTAAAAAGTGAACAGTTCTGAACCGTGACACATGATATTTTTGTAAATCGGCCGATTGTATTAATCCTAATAACCTGGTACCACAAATAATTGACAATCACATTTATGATGGACGTTTACTCTCAATGACGAATAATGCTAAATGCTGGATCCTTAACCTTGTCGTTATTATATAAATACATAAATATACATTTTTTTTCTGTCTTACTTCTTTCTTGCATCCTTTTATTTTTTTTGTTAATCTGTCTTTATTTTTTCCTTTGTTCGCTTTATATGTATACATGTCACACTTTCTCATATAAATGCCATCAATGTTGATTAATATATTTTTCAGGGGGAGGGCCGATCGCTAATGTTGTAAGAACTTGGGCCCAACCCTTTTGCTATTTGTTATTTCGAAATCAATTTGTTTCTCTGTATATTTACATGTATATATTAGCAATAAAATATGATTAAACTAAACCCCAAAGTTATATTTTATCATATATTTTTTCGTATTGAAATAAATCTTTCTGGTTTCATCTTGTTCCATGTTTTTGGTTTATAGAACCCCATTGGAAGTAGGCTTTCTAGCTTAATGGGCTATTCTTACATGACTTAAAACAAAATCATTTCACATACATGTATTAATATCTTAACCTGTATAAATACTGGTATTTTTTATCCTTCTTTATAATATCCTATCATCTATGTTAATTTTATAGCCAACAATATTAAAATGCCAGTAATTTCAAGCAAATTGTGTGCTGTTAACTAACGTTTCTGGCTTGTTGTAGTCAATTATTTATTTTATTTACTTAATCAATAAATTATTAACGTCATAATCTGAGATATTTCATAATTTTAACCAATGTCTTATATCACAGTCCATGGATACTTCAATTTATTTATGTAAATTTAAATTTTATAAAATGATATTTTTATTTGTTAAACCGTCAATTAATATGAGCACTACATATTTACATTTAGTAACTGTGATGTTGTAAAAAGAAAATCTACCATTTTCAATTGGCATGGTCCATGCAAAAAAGATAAGTTGCCATATCTGACGGTTAAAAGGTTACAGTATTTAAAGTATTTTTCAAAACCATACTGGTATTCAAATTGAAATAAATCTATAATTTACCACAAGGAATTTAATTTTGAAATAAAATTCCGTTTTACACGGATGAGAATGTATACAATGAATTTTAGCAATAAACCATTGATATCATTTTCGTTATCCGAGAAATTTCCGGGTTAACGATTCACTTTCATTTTCCATTTCCGTGTAAAAGAATAAAAAGAATATCAACCAATCAAATTATATTTAACAAACTGAATTCGGCTGTACACATTTTTAGTAGCCCGGATGTTGAAGTCAAAATTATTTCATCACCATGTTGTCACATACGGCATAGGGTTACATATCCATTAAAACTGTTCTTCTCTTGTCATGAATGAAAGGATGACCTAAACATGAAGCTTGTTAGTAGAGATATTGATAAAAACGGACAGGGGTAAGATCTGAAATGTTACATAGTTAAACTGTATTTCACCTGTTCACAAGGTTTTTTTGACTCGCAATGTTCAGGGCCTTTTGAACAAATTTATTATAGTATATTGTTTGAATGGTCTTGCTTGCAATTTCAGTTCCAGCAAATTAAGGCTATATCATAGTTTGTTTAAAATAATTTAGCTTATAGTTATACATATATTCTCAAAGCCAGTCATGTAACTGAAAAGTAACCACTGGCACTGCTCTAGGAAAGATTTTGAGCCAGTTAATTAGTTTTCTCTGCAAGTTTGTTATTTATAGTTTATAAGCAGGGCTCACGCTGTTGGTCGCCAGAGTCGCCATTTGCGATTATTTTATAAGATTGGCGATTATTTTCCCTTTTTGGCTACAAAATCTGGCGATTATTTTTTAATTACAACAGTGTAAAAATCGATAATGAATGCAGTATACCCAATTAACACCAGCGGGTGCATTTAATCAAGTGCCACGTGCTGCGATGTATAATTGTATAAGTACTTTAAAGATATTGTCCAGCATTTATAATAACCATCAAATATCTGTCAATTAGCCACAAAAATTGTTTTAAAATTGATTAACTGGATATTGACTTTAATACCCAAAATTTACCGTGAATTGCAGTAATTGCAAATTTTGATTTTTTTAGTTTTTAGCTACTTGACTAAATCGCCAGTGGAAAACAATGGTAAAATATTTAAAAAGTATTAACTTCCAAACCACTATTTGCAAAACAACCAAAATTGTGAATATTTCTTCAGAAAACAGGAAAAATCCGATTTGTCACATATTTTCGCGACACCGATAATTTTGATATTTATTTAAAGGTGAAATAAGCTATGTTTTGTTTAAAAATCTTTACTACGCTACTATGGCAGAAAATTTGTATTACATTGGTGATGATGATATTTTTCAGTAAATTATTCAGAAAAAAGGCAGCATTCTGTGAATGAGTTTGCAAACTTGTGTTATTTCAATAGGCTAATATGACCTAGATCTACTCCAGTTCTGTGTGAAATGTGGAAATTGACAGTGGTTATAGCTGACAAAATTTGATTAGAACAAACAAAAAAAGTTGTCTGATAACAGCATTATGTAAAGTTTTAATGAATCTTTAATATTATTGTTATACAGTAATCATACTAATTATAAAGTTTTTATTCTGTTCTATAATATTACAATTAAAGTGGTTCTATTTAAAAAAAGGTAGTTATCAATATACACAAATGTATCAGTTTATTTGAGAATCCCTATAAAACTGAAAGATATAAATGTAATGTTTATTTAATCAACTGCTTATGTTGTTAATCGCTAATTCGTGAATAGTCCGCTGAACTTTTGGCTATTATTTTTTTAAGTTGAAATTATTATATCTTATTATGTAACTGTGATCTATGTTGTTGCTAAAATAAAATAAATAAAAATTGGCTATTAATTTATTTGAGCCAGTGTGAGCCCTGTATAAGTGTTTCACTTATTACTTTGGTTACAAATTATTTTTTAAATATAATTTGTTGGCATAAATTCATTAAGTTAACACTACTTGCAAAGGCAGTGCTAGCCAAAAGATCTAGCTGTACGTTGGGCCAGCACGTCTAGCATATAAATACAAACTGTTAGTTGAGGATAGCCGTACGACATTTTTAAAAAATGAATAACCTTACACAATAATGAATATGCAAACTTGTGTTTTTAAATGAAAATTTTATTGAATATCATGAAAACTTTATCAATCAAAGTACTTAGGTATATATTAATCTATTATTCTATAGCGCTTGATAATCAGAAAAAAAAATTCTTCTGGAAATCACAGACTTTAGTAATTAAAGTCTGTGTGAAAATACGAAGAGAAATAAACTGAAACATTATTAAATCATTTCTATGGGCAATATAGCTCAATGTAATCAATGTATTCACTATTGTACATTGTATTAAATTTTTTATCTCAAACACTATTAGCAGGCATGGAAAATTTCAAGCTGATTGTTTGTTAGACATTGAAAGATGCAGTGCACCTGTATTTCACAATTGATGAACAAACTTCAATTGACATTATGATTAATGATTAATGTCCATAGGTCAATTTCCAGCAGCAGTTAGATGATGACGATGTATTTTTAATTATTATCACTTGTATTTTGTAAATAACACAAAATTATTTTCATAACAAATATATGTTCATTCTGTAAAAATTTAATAAGACATGCAAGTTACTGACTTCATCATTGCATAAATTTATTATTGAATAAATGCTTTACGGCTAGCCTCAACATTGCGAAGAGGCTAGACGTACGTGACTCACAAAAGTCACATATGGCTAGGACTTTTGGCTAGAAGTACTGGCCCTTACTGCTACATTTGTAGCAGCTTCCAATTGCAAATTATGGTCACATGGTAATTTTGATTTCCCTACACTATTTCAATTAAAATTTTCTAATACTTGACTTGGCTTAATATGATAATCATATCATAAATACACATCTAAGAAATTTCTGTTTTTTCTTTGATTTTTCTGGAAATGTGACATTTATTCTATGACTTAGTCTTAATTAAAAGAAAGTCTTATTCTTTTTTTCAGGGATTTGCCAATGTGCTTTCTGTTGTTAACTTGTTACCATGTATACATTGTAAACATATTTAATAAAATATGATTTTATTTTGTAATTAAAGATGTGTGACCCTGGTCCCGGAAGAGGCAGAAGATATGTGGCATGCCTATAACCTTGTGTGTGTTGATGACACATTGAGATCAACCACCATTAGGTGAGGTTTAAAAACTTAAAAGAAAAGTATTATTATAGACTTTATTTTAAAAGGTATCTACACGGAACTTGGAACACATGTACTTGCTCTTAACAGATGAGTGTTAGCATGCATCATATATGGTGCTTTTCTATTGTTATTTAACATACAAAACATGAAGTAACCATTGTTTAGCATATCAATAAGAAGAAAGAGATGTGATTATCTGTTTAACTTTTATACAGAAATTAGTTATTCAGTCATTAAATTGATATAATTGTGTTTGATTGACCATGTCACAGTGATTAATAATCTGCCATTGTTTCCTTGAGCAAGAAGCTTTACACTTATTACTGAGTACTTATTAGTTCCAGGAACAGATTCGAGAGTGTGCCTATAGCTCATCAGCGCTTCCATTAAATTCCAAAATTTTGAAGTAAGGCAGTGCTAAATGTCCAACATTTGTAGTCACAGTATATAAGAAAAGAAGGAAAAGCATGATATATTGGAAGTCAAAATCAAGAAGTAAATGATTTTCAAACTTCCACTAATGTAAGCCCTGGCATATAGCTTCCTACACCATCAAACTACAAGTAAAATAAATTCTGTATAAACCTATGATCTGTTGCAGGAAGGTACAAAATGAATCTGCCACGGGAAGTGTTAGTGTTAATAAAGTTAGGACAACACTTACAATCAGGATAGAAGCAATAGATTTTGATACACAAGGATGTGTTCTTAGAGTAAGAGGTAGAAATATTGAAGAGAATCAATATGTGAAGGTAAACTATATATCTTTAATGTTATATTAAAGTTGTGTGAATCATAGGAACTCTGGCTGTGCACTGTTATCTATTACTTGAAGTAGTAAGAATTATAAAGTAGTACACTCAATGTGTTCACCTCTGTGGCATAGTGGTTAAGGTTTCAAGTCATTTGCCTTCAGACTCAACATTGCTTATTCTTTCATGTGAAGAATCTATTTCGCTAGCTGATGAAAGGTTGATGGTTCTACTGTGATGCCCATCTGTGTTAGAAATAAGCACAATGAGTCGCCTAAATGGCAAAACAGCCTAAAGTTCTTTAAAAGATATTGTATGTCTATGATTTTAAGTAAATAGAAGGTTGTAGCAACATTGCCACCTAAGTTAAGTCAATTATATTGGAACAGGAAGATCTGAAAACAACATTTTTTCTTTCTGAGAAAGACTTTTAGCTGTGTGTGTTCTGTACTGTTAATTGACTTTCATCATGAATTCATGACATTGCAGTGTTAAAAAAAACTTGATAACTAAATTATATCTTTTTGGTCCTCGTTTCCTAATGATATATGATTTGACCAAATGTTTTTGGAGAGCCTTATTTTTGGAAGGCGATATTGCTTTTATATGCAGTTTTTTCCAATTGCATAGGCCCAACACCTGCAGTATCCATACATACACATAAAAACATATTTTGATGTGTTTTAAGTAAATCAGAACAAAAAATTAAAAGTATTAAATAATTAATTCCTTGTTATTTATGTAACTAATCATATATACATGCTTGCAGATGGGAGCTTATCACACACTGGATCTTGAAATGAACAGAAAATTTACACTTGGCAAACATGAATGGGATAGTATTGCATTAGATAGAATAGGTAAATATATGAAAATATTCCATACAAAATTATTTACAAAATTTCTTCATTAAAGCTGCATGCCTCCAGATTACAAGAAAATCAAACTTGTGAAAAATGAACTAAAATTTTAAGAAAAGATTCAAGATTTAAGTTATGATTTACATGTTATAGAGTGATTTTGCAGTATTTTTCACCATCTTTCTAAGTGTTACTAACGCAGTAAGGGCTATTGTTGTATATTTTGAACTCTTTTTGGTAATTTACTGGGATAATAAGTGCTGTTTACAATGTGTAAATTACTTGATTTGTTCATTTCACAATATTTTACTTTTAAGTACATTTTCAAAATTTTCACGAAAATTAGCATGAATCTGGAGGTATGCTGCTTTAATGAGTGGCAGCTAAAGTTTTATTGCCTTGGCAAGTTTTTCTAATTATGCAAATGTTATATGATGTACAGGTTACATATTCTAAGCTTGATGAGGGTTCATTTGCCCTTGTCTGGCACTTACAGTACACATGTGACATCTCGTAAATAGTTATGTGGTTAGGTTAACTAAATTAAAAGTTTATTACTGATCTCGTAAAAGTTGTGATAGAATTTACACTTTCTTTGCAGCAATGTTGCTCATCTCAATAAAAACATCTTAGGAAACTGTTTATTTTATATCACTATAATTATGCCACATAATGAGCGCCATTCAAATGTCTGTATCACATTTAAAGTGCCATTCTCATAAAGTTTGGCATTGTTCCCTCTGTTAGAAATGGACATTGCATATTAAGTGAACCATATTCTAATGTTTGTTTATATGTGTATGTATTAAAAACTCTATTTAATACATAAACTGAAAGATGATGAGGGAGTTTTTTTTATAATACACATGTAAACATTAGAATATGGTTTACTAAACACAGTTGAACTTGTGTTAAAGACCACCTTCAAATAAAGACCTTCCTGTCAATTAAGACCACTCTTCAACAAGTCATCAGTAGTTAGATAGAACAGAATAAGCTCCAAATAAAGACCACTTCTCTATAAAGGTCATGTTTGGTCTCTCCTTTGGATTGCCTTTGTTCACAGGTTTTACTGTATATTGTTTGTATTACAGAATTAGCGTGTGACCCGACACAACATGCAGATTTGGCTGCTATAGTGATGCAGGAGGGCTTGGCTCATGTATGTTTGATTACACCTAACATGACCCTAGTCCGAGCCAAATTAGAAACTAATATACCCAGAAAAAGGAAAGGTAGTTGCTCACAACATGACAAAGTAAGTTTCATTGTCTTAATGTGTTTTTATCTGCACAAGTACTTGTATTTAACGTTAATCATAAACAGTGAAGTTAATGATTGACAAACGTGGATATTACTGATACTGTGAGAGGATTTATGTTTATATAGACACATGTACCAGGGTTTCCACTTAGTTCCAAAATTTGGATGTCAGAGACTGCAAAATGTCTTGTATTGGAAGTCACATTTTATAGGTAAAGAAGCAAAAGGGTTATATTTTGGAAGTCACAAGCCCAATTCAATGAGAAAATTACACCCAAAATTCCACTAACAGAAGCCCTGATTTATTTAATGTTAGAATTTAGACAAATCTGTATATTACTAATATTATGAGAGGACTTTTTTGGATAAGTTGTTTAAGTAGTTAACTTAAAATTACTTGCCCCACATTTGTTTGGGTTTGATTCCCACCAGGGACATTGCATACTTACATTAGTGGAGTCTGGACAATATCTTGGCTACTTCAGAAAGAATGGGAGTATCTAGGTACATGTAGTTGCACATTGACACACACCTATTGCCTAAAATTATGCCTAGAGGGATATATGGAGTCCTTCCTCTACCATCATAAACCCATTACTACATTTATGACTTTTAGAATGTCTATGTGACTCAACCTTTAGCAGCTTGCTGGTAACCACTACCCATGCAATCAGTGCAGACTGTGATCTGTGCTGTCTGTTCATCGTCTGCATTGCACACTATTCAGTCAGTAAATATTTTGAAAATTTCACAAAAAAATGATGGATTTGATTTGATTTTATTTTGACCGGGCAGTCAAGGATAACCTACGAAAGTGCAAGCACTTATTTCCAGTAAGGTCCTTACCTCAGCAGACTCTAGAGACAGCTATGAGATACAAGGGAATCCGAGAACAAGTCACTAGCTCTTATTGAATAGATTCCTTGGTTCTTTTACATGCCCAGTGTATAGCACTGATATATGCGAGGATTACCAGGGTTTCGTACCAGTAAACCTCTAGTTAGGTGGGAAACACTGAAAGTGTTTCTGAAAAATCCCAAGGGTGTTACCCAGGATCGAACCCGGAACCTCAGGAGTGACAGTCAGTGGTCTAACCAACTGAACTATCGCGGATGTCTTTTGTTCAGATTCAAAGATGGACAAGTTTAAGATATTTAGAATAGCAAGGATTAAATTTCAACTCAAAAAGATATGTAGAAAACGTTTTTAACATTCAAAGATTAACCATACCTTGATAAACTTACATTTTGTGATGACTTGAATAAGAAAAGAAGATATTGTTTTCACTTTTTGTTAACATTTCTTTTAATGTAATAATTTTCAATTTAACTTTTTACTTGAACAATAATATGTTAACAAGGAATCGTTTTGTTCAAAATGCTTTGATTTTTTTTCAGGGCCTCACAAGATTTTATGACCAAATATTACAGGCCATTATAAGACATGTTAATTTTGATAGTAAGTTTATTATATCTTGTTGTACATTTTGTAATTCTTATTCCTAAGAATAATTACTTAATTGTTGATTTTTATATGGAGCAAATTTCCTTCTTAAAGTTACTTGTATATGAGCAATATTATATATCTGCTGCAAAATTTAATGTTTGAATTTTAAACGGAATACTTTCAACATGCTTGTATGAAATAAATATTGTAGTAAATTGACTTAAAAGTGAATGGTACATGCAGGAAATCATTGATGAATTTTCCTTTACTCTTTTCAGTTGTGAAGTGTGTTTTAGTTGCTAGTCCTGGGTTTGTAAAAGTAAGTACATATATTTCTATATAATTTGGTTTGCAGTAGACTTAACAATTTGAATTAACAGGCAAATTTGTATCAGGTATACATACAAGATATTATAGTCAGTCTTAGCCCCCCCTCCCTCCCATGAAACTTATACATGTAAAGACCAAAGGTCAAAGGTCAAATCTCAATTACCTATTTTAACTTTTTGATAATTTTTTATAATGGTTAATAAATTCAAATTGCTACATTAGAACTTGATATTCTTATGACTATGTGATAAGGTCTGCCATAATGATCATATTTAGATCAAAAGTCAAGGGTCAGTAGGACCTTTGATTCCAAATTATCTCTTTATCAAGAAAATGTGAGTATACTGAGAAATTTTGAGCACATTGCATGTTTGATTTTGAACATGTGTTGTTTTTTTACTCAAATTCTGCGACTTTAAAATTTTATGGAAAAATATAACATATGGAGTATTATGAGACATTTCAAATCAGTTTGTTAATTTATAAACTTACTTTTGCAGGACCAGTTTATGGAATATATGTTTCAACAAGCATTAAAGTTAGACTATAAAGTGTTATTAGACAATAAGTCAAAGTTTGTCATGTGTCATTCCTCATCTGGATTTAAACACTCTCTAAAAGGTGAGTTCATCATTACTGTTTTTTGATATACATTGAAACCTGTCTGTTATGAGCTCTTTTGGACCAGCAGAAAATTTTGGATCAGAAAGATTTCCGGGTACAGTAGATGGATTTTTTTGTAAATTGTATGTATGTAACATTTGCTATGTGCAGCATTGTTTACAAATAAATTATAAGCAATACAGATTTGAAAATATGTTCATTTTGTAAAGAAAAGAAATCAGGTTTAAAATGAGTATAAATGCATATTCAAGAGTCCAAAGTTTATAGTTTTCATTCATCACATTTTCAAAGTGTTCAAGGTACTCATCATTAATAGTTTTCCCATTCATCATCGTAGGTCAGAGTCATTGGATATCTTTAAGATAACTACTTATCTTATCCAAAGTTAATGCATCTTTAAGTTCTCTTTTACCTTAATGCTGAAAAGTCAATGTATGACCTAAGTAATCTAGAGCATAGATGTAAATTAATGAGTAATACAGTTTAAGTGCTGATACATGGCATCAAGTGTATTAAATACCTTATCTAGTGTGAGAATAATTAATCTTAATTTGAAGTGTATACAAATACATAGTTAAGTGTAAAATATCAGTTATAAAAGGTAGACCACGGACATATTTTTGTATTAAGAAGAACTCATGTGTACATGAGTTCTTTTACTATATGATGATTATTTGGACAAAGTCTAACTGTCTTGTTATTACCTGTTTCAGAGGTGTTACAAGATCCGACGATAACTTCTAAACTAACAGATACCAAAGCTACAAGTGAAGTCAAAGCATTAGATGACTTTTATCAAATGTTGCAAAATGATCCGTCTCGTGCATTTTATGGGTAAGTTTAAACAAACAAAAAAACAAACATGTAGTAGTTGTTAAATTCAAATGTTTCACCTTGAAGACTTGGGCAGTCAAAAATAAATACATAAATAAGTTTGAAGTTTTTACTGATTAAGGTAAGATGGAATTATAAAAAAAAATTCTTTATTACAAATATTAAATATTGTTGATTTGTAAATACATGTATATATGCATGTTTATTCTTTAATATGTTCCCCTTGATCAAATTAGGTAAAAACATTCTTATTTGTAATGTGCTTAATGAATGTATATCTGCTTTAACTGGGAATAGCAGTATGGTGATTCAGAGTGATATTGCTAATCTAGTTTATGATTAATTACAATTGCATTACTTTTGAAAGTGAATATCTGGTTTTGTGATAATTCCTGTCTCATGTGTTTATAAAAGATACTATTTATGTTAAATTTTTAATCTTATTTTATTGTATATAGGATAAAGCCAGTGGAGAAAGCTGCAGAGCAACAGGGTGTTGAAGTATTGCTCATCTCTGATGAATTATTTAGGTAGGGTTGTTTAATATTTGATATTAGATTAATTATTACGTGATATTCTTTTGTTGCTTAAATTGTGATAAAGGCCTAAACAACCAAATTACAAGTTTTCCATTTTTCTGCTAGAGGAAGAAAAATAGATACCCAGCTCAAATCAATTCAGCTATAAATACAATTATCGGCCTATATGCTAGCTGGATCTAGTCTTCCTTTGGGATTCAAACCTGCTTAAATCAAGGGCAGGTAACTTGAAATAAGCAACCGTAACCTTACGGATTAGATGCCTGATACATTAGTGGTATTCATTCTACAGATTTGAATTTCATGAGACTTTCTAAGGGACTATACAAATAAGAGCTCATACAGCGGGGTGTCTCATGATACATTCTCAAAACGTAGTATGAATGGTTTTTAAACCATCTGATAAACCATTATGAATTACATATATAATTTTTTGAAGGATTTGTTACCAATGCAGTTCAACATATTTTAAGTATTTGATGCAAGTAAAATTAGTTGCATGTAAAACATGTATAATAAATTGCATGTATAAATAAATATAGAGGATATTAAATGAGTGTAGATTCAAAACTGAATTTATTGAAGGAGATAAATAAAGTTATATTATGCTAGCCTTTGCCAGCATAATATTACTTTATTCACCAAGTTCAATAAATTTAGTAATGAACCAACACAAATACATTTATAATATTCTATTTATATCATACCCAAAATGAAGACTGTTTAAAGTGAAAAAGAATAATTTTTATAGACATGCCTAACATGGTTCAGGTATGTGATATAAATTTAGACTATACTTTCTATTTGTAATTTGAAGACATTTTAAATACAAAAAAAGTTTAATACATTACAAAAATTAAGCAGGGTTATATTGAATTTTTTTTATCGTTATCTAATTGGACTTTGATCAAATTACAGATCGATGGATTTGAAGGCACGTAAACGTTACGTAAGACTTGTAGATACAGTTAGAGAAGCTGGGGGTGATGTGAAGATATTCTCTAGTTTACATGTATCTGGGGAACGTAAGTTTATAACAGAAATTATCTGAGAAATTCCAATTAAACAATGTTTGCTACTGTTTTGATATAGACATATGAGCCGCGCCATGACAAAACCAATGTAATGCATTTGCGACCAGTATCAGTTTCTTTACTTGTTAAAAGGTTTGTAAGCGAACAGCATGGATCCTGATCAGACTGTGCGGATGTGCAGACTAGTCTGGATCCATGCTGGTCGCAAAAGCAATATGCTGGTTTTGTCAAGACGCGGCTCAATTATAGGTAGAATGAAAACTAGAGCCGGGAATTATATTCGAATATTCGAAACACTACCGAATATTCGAACATTGAAAAACGAATACAGTAAACTCCGCTTATAACGAACTCATTGGGACATTCAAAATCTGTTCCTTATATCCGGAGTTCCTTGTAAGCATATAGCGAATTAGTTCCTTGTATCAGGAGTTTTTATAGCGAACAGATTTACATATAACGAACTGATTGTTAAACATTGTCCGCCATTTTTAAGAGCATTTGATTAAGAATAATTAGTCATTTATTTTTTTTAGACACAATACCCGAGAGCGTACATTTTGGAATTTGAAAATCCTTTGCTATTTCAGTTTTAGTTTTACTCCCTTTCTCAATTTTTCATAAAACATCATATTTTGTTTCTTAACTCAGTGCTTTTCGTTTTCTTTCAATGAATAAGAATAAACAAGATTTTCCATTATTTTTATTCCTTTTATATTGAATATCTTCTATTATATTTTAAGGGTGACTTTAACTAACGAAATATATAGATTTCTTTTGCATACTTTGTAGTTTTCTAAAGCATGCATGATTATGTTGAAAACCGATAATTATTTTACTCGAGCAAAACTATTAAAGAAAAGAAATTATAGAATAAAGGGAATTACCGTTTTATCTTTGTGACATGAACTCAAGCTAAAAATATCCTAAATAGAAAACTATTACATACTTCTATTAAAATTCATTTTCATTGAATTACATTGTACATACAGTAATAAACGGTACATTCCGCGTGTTTTATTCCGTGCCAATGAAAACGAAAGTTGAAAATGCAGGATATATTTACGAATAGCCGATATTTGGAGTTCGTTATAAAAGTGTGATTTTATGCACTTTTAACTAAATTGGGACTAAGAAATGAGTTCCTTATAAGCGATAATTCCTTATAACCGTGTTCGCTATAACCGTATATTTTTATATTAAATAAAGAAGGGCAAAATTCGGGCCAAAATAAATTGTTCCTTATAACCGGAAGTTCGCTATAACCGTGTTCGCTATAAGTGAAGTTTACTGTACGAATATTCGAAAAAAAGCGTGTTTTTTTGTAATTACTTTAAAATTTCAATTAAGATAGCAAATAAACCATTGACCTTTACTTGACCAGTTGTTCACACGTTTGTATGACACGTGTCAACGATGATCGCCAATTAACTGTGAAAACTTTGGGGTCTATAGTTGATCAAAAGGGCACCCGTTTCACAGTTTGCAATTTACCTGTTGAACAGAATATAATGTAAATTTCCGATTTTAATTATCTTATACATTGTTTTCTGTGCAATAATCTGTCCGATTAATCAGTAATTGTCTTAAATTTTGTGAAGACGAAAAAAATCGACACGTATTAATCGGTGCTTTATGTAAGCATGGTCAGTGTCTATATTCTGACAAAATATATTTATTCCGTAGAAACTAAGACTCCGTGTGATATTTACTGCGTTATAGCTAAATGTATCTGAAGAATATTTTAAACCTTATCTAAAATTATATATATAATGTATTTAATTCAAGTTAAGTTTCAATGTAAATTATGTGTTTTGGGGGCTAAGAAGCAACGGTGATTTATATTACTGTCAATCAAGTCACGCGATTCACCTACCGTTAGACGAATTATCAGCAGTCGGATTAACTGAACAAAAGGCAATCAAATTATGAATTTATTTCAAAAGTAAACATTTACGTCGATTTACAGTATATAAGATAAAAAACTTTTACGTAGTTATATAGGTATTTTTAATCGTCGATTATTGCAAACATATTAAAATTGTACAGTATTCGACACAATCAATTTCGGATACGTATACGTCAAAGAGAAATATTGGAACAAATGTTGTAAAAACGAATATTCGAATATATTCGAATATGGAAAACGAATATTCGAACATCAAATTCCTTATTCGTTCCCAGCCCTAAATTGAAAACTGTTTAATTGATATTTTTTCCAACTTTGCATGATCTTAAATTATGATTAAAGGGAGGGTATATGAAAGCAATAGCAAATATCCTGAAATTTTGCTTTTATTCTGTAATAATATAGAATGAAAGTTTTCTGAAACCATTGTTCTTAGTTGACGTAATTTAAGAAAATGTTTTAAGTTTGAATTTCAGTAAAAATTGTATATTCACTTTTTTGTTGAGTAATTTTAAACTTTGACTATCAGTTGTGTGTATTATACTTGACTGGTATTTCCATTTGATAATAGACATAAAAAATACATGCTTAAAGAAAGGATTATACATTATTAGTTGAAATATATAAAGGAAATAATAATATAATTAAATAAATAAATTTCATGTTACTTTAGACAAAGACTGTCTTTATTTACATTTGCTTAAGGAAATTTGAAAATAATTGCTGTAATTTCCAGGTATATTTCAGATGGCACCAAATTTCATATTAATCATTAATTTCATCATTAATGGTTAGAATTTAATTTAGAGAGTTTAATCATAATAATCATTTCTGATTTTGATTTTTTTACCTTTCCCCTTTCCAGAATTAGGTCAATTATCTGGTGTAGCAGCCATTTTAAGATTTCCAATGGATGATGAGGATTCAGATGAGGAAGATTAATAAATACAAGATAACTTTTGACTGGTTGGAATGTATGTAAGGTTAATGCTGATTGGTTAAGATATAAGATGATTTCTGACTGGTCAGAATACTAAGTTATTGATTTTTTCATTAAAACATAAGAGTAATGCTGATTGGATAGAAGATATTATAAAAGCAATGCTGATTGGTTGTAATGTAAGTTTAATGTTGATTGGTTAATCAAAATGTGTTCTAAAAATAAAACTGATTCCACTTTTCAAATTCTTGATGAGAATATGTAGTTGTCAATTTTGTCCGAAGTGTAGTGTGATAATCTCAAATACAAGTTTAGGAAAGTAATACTTTTAAGATGTTTTTACATCAATTGTCTATTTTTGAAACTTTTTCTTTCAAGTCTTTTTTTCTTTTTGAAGTTTATTGCAGCAATATTATTTACCTTTTTACCCAGCAAACAGTTGCATTACAAGAATTTGAGTTTATTGCCTTAAGAATTTAGTATTGAGCTCAATGTGAAGATTTTAAGAAATGATGTGTATATCTTGATAAAATTTACACTGCAATTTTCAACAAGATTTTTTTTAGCAATTTGAATGTTTTTTATGCCTTTGTTTATTGTTATGAGAAATAGTTGATATAATTTTTCATCGTAATATTAGTTTGAAATATTAGTTTGAATATATATTCGGCCATAGGCATTTATTCTCAGTGTGTGAATCTCAAAAATTCAAATGGAAATACAGTCACACCTTTTGTAGATCAGCCTTTATGAAGACAACTTTATTAAAATAAGTTTCAGTTTAAGATTCTTGCATTGGCTGCCAGTGTAGACCAGAAAATCTGGCTTTAATCAGATAGTCCTGTTTGTTCTGTCAGCCAGTATATTTAGGTTTTAAACCATGTTGGTTCTATTCAGATGCCTGCTTGTGCTGGAAATATTGCTTGGATGGGCACCTGAGGTCTTCCTCCACCAGTAAAGCTGGAAAATTATCTTAAAAACCAATATAGTGTTGATCTGACTTAAAATCCAACCCCAAAAAAATGTCAGCCAGTATTCCAATCTTATTCTTGCATATTACATATTGATTTTAGTTTGAGTCATTGTTTAATAGGAAAATCGATATTATGTAAAGTTGAAGAAGTACCTGTGTCTTTTCATTTGATAGTATCAAAATTTTTAAATGCTTTGTCATGAATATTGATAGTTATTACATGTATATTCTCTATTTAAAATGTTAAGTTAAATATGTTTAGTAAAATATGTTAAGTTAAAAGTTAAATATGTTAAGCAAAATATGTTAAGTTAAATGTTTTTTTTTCTCACTATTATGGAATAATTATGATTATGATGTTAAGATAAATTTTTATTTCTTGGAAATTGTATACTATACTTAATGCACATTGATTAATTAGATCTTTATTTATCTGATATTTTTAGCATAATTTTGTTCATTTTTGTTAGGATGTTTGCCATATTGCTTATTTTGACAATTCTTATTACCATGGCAATTGTAAATCTCACAACTATAGTTTGCTCAATTAAACTGTATTTCTCTGTCTGCCGACATAGTATTGGATAAATTATCTGAGGGTTGCTGGTTTCATCCTCAGATGAGGTGTAATTTCTCCCAAGGCGTAATTTCTCCAAGGCGTAATTTCTCCCGAGGCGTAATTTCTCTGAGGCGTAATTTCTCTGAGGCGTAATTTCTCTGAGCCATAATTTCTCTGAGGCATAATTTCGCTGAGGCGTAATTTCTCTGAGCCATAATTTCGCTGAGGCGTAATTTCTCTGAGCCATAATTTCTCTGAGGCATAATTTCGCTGAGGCGTAATTTCTCTGAGCCATAATTTCTCTGAGCCATAATTTCTCTGAGCCATAATTTCTCTGAGCCATAATTTCTCTGAGGCGTAATTTCTCCGTTCTCCAAGGTGTAATTTCTCCAGGGTATAATTTCTCTGAGGTGTAATTTTTCCGAGGTGTAATTTCTCCCGAGGTGTAATTTCTCTGTGACAGTGGATCTCCTATGTTGAGTGTTATATTTGTTTGGCTATCATTGCAGGGATAATGAACAAAAATGTTTTAAAATTGGCATGAAATCCAGAGAAACATCAAAACAAACAAAAAACTTTGAACATTTATTATTTCAATTTTATTGGTCTAAAATTGAAACAAGACTTTTCCTTCATATTGTATTGAATAGTCCATTGTTGATTTACAGTTTTTTTATCAATACTGAAGATAAAACTGAGACAGTTCTCAACCTAAGATTGTCTCAAAATCTCAGGTTGTCTTTCACAGAGTTTTTCTTAACACTTGAGATGTTTCTCAACAGAGATTTTGTCTCGGAGAACGTTAGTGAAAGCTGGCCCTGGTGAGAATGTAATGAAAATACAAACTGACCTGGCTCTATACTGGTGAAAAGACCAGCTGTTTTATCAGCTAGCTTTCAGATTGAGAAAGTTAAGTACATAATATTTAGAAACAATAGTGTTGTGTGTTCAACTTATGATTTATGTTCATGAACCTTCAGTGCCACATCCACAAAAATTAGACAGCCAATAAAGTGCCAAAGTCTTTTTTTATCTGAATTGAAATATCCAAATGTTTGAATTCTTAAAGGCGATATAAAGATTTTACCTGAATATATTTAAATAATTTTTATTTAAAAAGAAAGACAAGAAATAACACCTCATAGATTTTCATGTCTAAAATAAAAGACTGAGGGTCACCTATATGGGGTATTAATTCACAAGCAAAGGTGGAAAATAATGATGATCATTGCCATTACCTTGGCAGTGTTGCCATGGAATCGCATTCCTGAAGATAAATTTTTATGAGTTACATATACTGTGTTTTTTGGGAAAGATTTTTGTTATGTAAAACTTAAATTGTGGAATTGTTCCAATATACATGTATAATTTGAATTAAAGAAATTGGTAATAGTTAAGATTGTATAAAATTAATTTTATTCATGCCAAAAATAAAAGAAGGTTTCAACTGTTTCTTAATTTTAATTTCTAAGTTGAAAATTTCAGGAAACTAGGTATTCCCCATTTTATTTAAAGCTAACATATATATTTAAAGTGGCACGCCTCCTGATAAGCAATAAAAACTCTCTAAAATTAAAACCTAAGAAAAAATTCTTATATAAATTTCAAAACGGACAGGTATTCATAATTCGGGTGAAACATTAAAAATGTATTTTGAAAAAAAAAATGACAGAAGTTGCAATTTTAATCTACAAAATTTTTTCCCTGTTACTAACAGGTTAAGAAAAAAGTTTTCCATATTGATAAATTTTCGGAATTCTGTGAATAGAAGTGTCTTCATTTAGATTAAATCACTTATTTTCACTTATTTTGTATACTTTATAAAATTTTTATTCGTAAGAACAATTTTTAAAAATTTCATGAAAATTGACAGAAACCTAGAGGCGTGCTTCTTTAAAGTGTACTATGTTTTGTTGTTGTTGGTTGTTGTTGTAATATCTTCAAAAACTGAACCGGTAAACAGTATGATGGTGTTTTGATATTGGCAGATTTATTATGTTTGTTGTTAAGTTGTTGAAGAAAATATTTTGCTGACAATTGTCCATTTAGCTATTATATAGCAGTGCAATAAAATTATGTGAAAGAAACAAAAATTTGTTGTTTTCCATTATAGTAATTTGGCAGTTTGGTATGCATTATTTTATTATTCTGAATTGGTAAAGAGAATATTAATGTATCACTGTTTTATTAATTCAAAATTGAAGAGATATACATGTTGATATGTTTTATGTCGTTATATCCACTTTCACGAAAGATCAGTGAATATTTTGTTCAAGTTTAATGCACAGGTTAACAACTGTATGAAGAAAACTGCCTGCATTTTTCATCCGTATGTTCCAAGCATTTTATGAGTCATTTCCACCGAGATAAAATAAATCACATATAAGGCTGAAGATCTACAATTTATTTTATAAAATTTGCCTGTTTCGTTATTTTGGGGAACAGATAGTTCTTGTTTGTTTCACACATCGTCCTGAATTAAATTTATATATTTGTTTATTTGTTTTTACATGTCTTTTCTAAATATGGTTATGACAAACACATTATTGTATCGCTTGTAATATACACCAATGCCTTACAAGTCTTAACCACGATTTTACCACATTATGATATTGAATATTCTTTACCACTTATATGATATTTAAGTTTCTTTACCACGAATATGATATTTTAGTTTCTTAACCACAGTTATGATATTTAAGTTTCTTAACCACGATTCTGATATTTAAGTTTCATAACCACGATTATGATATTCATGTTTCTTTTCCACGATTATGATATTTAGGTTTCTCTATCACGATTGTGATATTTAAGTTTCTTTACCACATATATGATATTCAAGTTTCTCTTCCACTTAGATGATATTTAGGTTTCTCTATCACGATTGTGATATTTAAGTTTCTTTACCACGATTCTGATATTTAAGTTTCTAAACCACGATTATGACATTCATGTTTCTTTTCCACGATTATGATATTTAGGTTTCTCTATCACGATTGTGATATTTAAGTTTCTTTACCACGATATATGATATTCAAGTTTCTTTTCCACTTATATGATATTTAGGTTTCTCTATCACGATTGTGATATTTAAGTTTCTTTACCACTTATACGATATTTAAGTTTCTTTTCCACAAATATGATATTTAATTTTCTTAACCACGATTATGATATTTAAGTTCTTAACCACGATTACGATATCTAAATTCTTTACCACGAATATGATATTTAAGTTTCTTTACCACGAATATGACATTTAAGTTTCTTTACCACGAATATGATATTTAAGTTTCTTTACCACGAATATGATATAAATGTTTTTAACCACGATTATGCAATTTATGTTTCTTAACCACGATTATGATATTTAAGTTTCTTAACCACGATTATGATATATAAGTTTCTTAACCACGATTATGATAGTTAAGTTTCTTAACCACGATTATAAATAAGTTTCTTAACCACGATTATGATATTTATTAAGTTTCTTAATCACGCTTATAATATTCAAGTTTATCATTGAATATCAGTAGATGAGAAAATGTTATCGGATACTGAATACACTGTAAATTATTGAAGCCTCTAGTTGATATCCATTTCATAAACTAAAATCGATGATTGCAATTGCTGTTAAAAAAAACTCAAACACATATATCGACTTGTAGTTTTGATTGAATATCACCTCAATTTGACTAAATGACAAAAAATTAGATCACAACATTCAAAAACTGTAATTATGACATTTAAAAGTGTCCTACGCTACCGAGAAAGAAGAAGAAAAAAGATATAAACAAACAAAACGTTAAAACATGAACATGCACAATACTCGAGTGGCCCACAGTTTCGTTGAGTAAAACGGTTGCAGGGCGGGACGGGCATAAAGTACCTCAAATATTGACTTATAAATGCACCGCCTCACTGCAGGAACATATTTAAAAGTTTAATCGACTATCTCTCTTATTAAGAGTTGTTAAATGTTTAGGCTACATGCTCTACTTCAGAAGTTATCCTCTCGGGGATTTTTTAAAATATCATATTGCAGATCATATGCAGTGATACATATAAAGTATGTGAATATATTTGACCTTTACATTCGGATCAGTTATCATTGCTCCTGTGCTACTAAATAAGTGTGAGGTGTGTGCGTTGTTTGAACTTGGAGTAAGGCATTAGGTAGTTACGGGGGTTTAAGTATTTCAGGATTAAAATGTAGAAAATTGACTTGACAAATACAATGAAAATACGGAACTATCGGTAACAATAATTAAGTTGATACAGTTAAAGATATAGCTGCCCATGTCCATGTGGAACATTAATCACAAGGGAAATTTTCTTACATTTTCGAAAGTAACGGTTAGGCTTCAGTTGAAGGACAGTTTGCTCATGCGCGATGCTGGTAACATAAGACTGTTCTTGCTTGCAGATGACGCACTTACATAAAGTATCTAGATCTAGATCTACGTGTAAATTTGGTTTCCCTCATGGTATTGATATCAGCACGCGTATCTTAAAGATCCTGTAACACATTTTTTTATGGTTTTATATCATAAATATGATGCTCAAATTAAGATTTATCAATTTTGTAAGTTCCAAAAAGCATTATTTATAAAGATATTACCGAATTTAACATTTCATGTAAATAAAGGGAGGTAATAAAAAAATTATTTTCTATAAAGTCTAAGTCAATTTTTTCAATAAGAAATGAATGCATATATTTTAATGATTACATATAATATGTACAAATATTTGCAGTACATATTTTACATATTCTTCGATGTTTGAAAATTGTTTTATAAGCATAATTATATACATACATATATATAATTTCATTTAAGTGTGGTATACAACCTCAATTACAACATACAGGATCTTTAATAGCCCTCAGTCAACGGTGTACAAAATATAAATGCTGTCCTGAATACATTTGTGCAAAGTCAAAATGATTTTATTTATTTATTTATCATATTAAGCAAGAAACATTACCACAGGAGCTTGAAATTCTATCAATAATCGCTCTATTTAAAGTCCGATTAAAAAATCCATACCTATACATGTATATAAAAAAATGTTGTTTTATATAGGTACTTTATGGATTTTTTTTTTAAAAATCGGACTTTAGAGCGATTACTGATGGAATTTCAAGCTCCTGTGACATTACGTATACATTCTGTCCAAAAATCAATGATACAGTTAACTTTTTTTTATAAAAAAAATTGCGATACAGACAATTTTAAATGGTTTCATATTTAATATCTAGAATTGTACACATAAGACCGGACTCAAATGATGTCCTGTAAATTGTCAGCATCCGGAACAGCTGTACTAGTCTCCCTGTTTCCCGGCTTTTTCCTCTGGCACAGAAGTTTTTCAAACAATTCAAATGTGACAACACCCATCGCCATCATATTCTTTAACAAAAACACGGATATACCCCGTGATAGACCGTGCCATATGTATAACCTTAAAACTAAAAGTGGAAAATTGACCAAATATACGATCGCAAACCGAAACAAGGCTAAATATTTCATAGATGGCGCTTTAAGTCCGAATCTGTATCGTGCAAGAATGAACAGTGGAACTATGGGTAACATGAAGGTGATGCAGCTTTCAATAATAATAACATAATCAAGTCCTTGCGGGAACGTGTCAATCAACCCAACATCGAATAGAATTTCAAGATTATCAACTCCGTCTAGAATATCAACTGTTACAGTAGATGTAAGAGCAACAATCAGATCTTTCCTTGGTCCATGCTGAACATCGTTAAGTGTTGGTAAAAAAGTTAAGAAAACAACCGCCGCCAATGCTATACTTGCTTTTAAAGTATTTTGTCCAAAGAAGTCTGTTTCATGAAGTTCTTTTGCGTCTGTGCTGAATATAGCAACAACTTTGACACCGAGTACGACAGTATACACGAACCAAGACATGTATACAAACGGCAAATATCGTAAATGAGAAATGTCCAAATCTTTAGTATGTTTCTCTACGCGTATATTTCTTGAAGAGATGAGAAATGTTATTACAAAGACAACAATTACAGCAACATCGAGCGCGTAAATTGCCGCCCAGACATATGATAACCCAGTCATCATGTACCAGTTCAAGGACGCAGATTGTAAAATCAATATAGATATACAAAACACTCGTGTAGGCCAATGATGCAAACATCTTTTGACCTGCATTTCTTTTCTGAACGTCTCTACCAAATGATCCGACAGATGTGTAAACAGTTTTAATTCCTTTCTTACATAAAATAAATCTGAATTCTGCTTATAAACACTTCACTGTCCATAGCAAATAGCACAGTCAATTTCATTAATAGATCCGCCACTGTAAAACAAGAAGTCTACAGCAATTCCAACCCAATCAATGAAAAGCAACAAAAGAATATAATATCATAACAGAACATCAAATTACAACTATTCATTACCCGTCGCCGTTATGTGTTTGGAATTTGTCGTCTGTTTATTAGAGCATGGCTTTTTCATACACCATTGTTAGATGTTGTTAATTATTGAAAATGCTGTAAATGCAGTAAGTGCAAATAATTGATTGAAATATACGGCAGGGGTTTTGTCTCAAAGATCAAACGCTTTAAACATTCACATTCAGTTTCAGAACAAAAAGCGCTTTAAAAATAAACTGATGTGTGGAACGCTATTGATTATGCATATCATGTTTAAAAGGTACATTAAGCATAAAAAATGTTATCATTTTTATTTTGCAAAAGCTTTTAATTTCTGGCCCCTTGTTACAATTTCAAAAAATGTTACTCATTGGTTTTACACCTGAGTCACCATATTTACGTCTTTTATGATTATTTTTTTACTTTACTTTAATTTAGTACATCTATAGTGATGGGAGATTTGTATGTGTTTACATGTTCTAAATACAAATATACATTACTATAATATGATAAAACACATGTTTGCCTTTGCTACATAACGAAAAGATCATCGAACAGTCTGTCTAACCTATATACTGTGAGTAACTTAGAAATTTTGGTTTCAGTTTTGTTTATACTTAATTAAAAATAAAATTCTAAAAATCGGTAAATGACTGTTTCAAACTGTAAACAGCGTAAGTTAGTCAGGGCGGTGTCTCAGACTGATTCATCATTAAAGATTGACTTTCATTACATATAATACTATCTGTATATAGTGTTATTTATAGTTTATATATATCAAAACGTTTTTGTGGTTTAATCATTCTTTAAACAGAAACATAATTCTCATATGATAACATCACACAAATCGATGCCTGAACTTAATTATGGGAGATAACTCAGGGGAAGTATATACTCCAGTCTTTGCCTGATTTAAGTCCCTTCTCTTTAGTGTGACAGCGTGCAAAGATATTTTATAAGATTTATTCATTTCTATAATAACCTGATGATAATAATAAAACTTTAACGTATATATCGTGTTTCAACCTTTTATCTCACTAAGTCGAAAACACATATATTCAACCTGACGCATCTATAAGTCGAAGAAAAATAAAATGCTATAATAAGAACAACTAAAACTTAATTTATATGGTGAACTTTTTGAGTGTCTTTGCAGTTCGTTATTTCGGTAACAACTTTTGTTGTTGATAAACATCTGGAAGTTATATACAATCATGTATCTTGTTCTTATAAGTATCATACTGGTATAACACGTGACTGACTAATCTGCAAATTTGTTTCAAAATTAAATCTAAAACGTTGATTACATCGCAAAATTCGGCATTCATTTTCATTGTTAATTTATTCGATACAATTCCCGTGAATTTGAACAGGAGCTTTTTAAAGTTGGTAAGAAAACCAAAGTTTTTATTACAACATTGACTGGTTTACAGGAACATTGACTGGTTAACTCGAACATTGACTGGTTAACTCGAACATTGACTGGTTAACTCGAACATTGACTGGCATCATCCTTTTCAGCTTCTCTTCTATTATAATGACAAATCAAATCAAGCCCCTGTGACAAATTTCTCGATTTTTATTACAGTCGACAATATTTTTATCCTCATAAATGCATTAATTATTAAAAAGGATAATCAAATAAATGCTTTACATACACGCACCATTTAGAGTGAAAAAGAGCAGCAAATAAAGATCGGCGTGATAAGGATAAAACCCATGGATGCTTTATATTTCATTTTTTTATAGATACGTCGAGTTAATTTATTACACGTATTCTGTATTCATCGCTTTCTATCCGCGTGAATAAGTTAGCAACCCCAGAGCACTCACATGTAATCTGGTTCATATGTAGGTGAACTTAAAACGTCGTTCTTTGTCATTCTGTCAATCTTTATAATCAGATGTTTATTTGATATTATCAGAACTGGCACTTAAACATATTAAAGTGACATTATGCTCATATTTTCATAGTCAAGTTGAGCTAAATTGACTTTATATTTTAAAAGATTGACTGTTAAAATGGTGTTTGACCAACAGTTTATATTGGAAAATGTTCAGAATAAAATTATAAATCTGCCTAAAATATAAAGACTGTCCCCATCTTTTTATAAACTGAGCGTTATAGGTAAATTCTAATAGATATTTACAGAAATTTTATTTGGATCTGTGCATTATTTACTGTCTATGGCAAGTAAATTATTAAATTTAAAGGAATTATGGCAAAATGAAAACTTATTTTTATATTCTCCTGTTCACTCACTAGTTACCCTTGGATGGGCATAATGTCACTTTAAGACAGGACGATGTAAATTCATGCCTTTCGACTCGGTTACACAGGTTAGTTATATAGATTCACCATGATGAAACATCTGCAAGACAAGAAGTACAATGAACACAAAATTCGAATGCAAACTTATGTGGCATGCATATACAAAAAGGAAAATAAAAGCATTATTTTCTAAGATACTGAGGCTAGTATTGTGTAACTGGAGAAGTTTCAGACAACTGCATTACAGTGAAGTACCTTCCTGCGAGTTATTTGATCCTTTGCTTTCTTTGCTTTTCTTTGAGAAGATGAGCTTTTCACACACTTCAAAAGTCACAACTCCCATCGCCATTATATTCTTCAGGAGGAAAATAGAAATACCTTGAGATAGACCATGCCACGTGATCATTCGTGTAATAAACAGAGGTAAGTTTATAAGGTAAGCTATAGAAAATTTATGTAACAATTCCAATTTTAATGGTAGTTTCTTTATGCCAAACTTTGTTTTCGCGAGCGTGAACAACGGAACTGTGGGTAACAGGAAGTTGATGCAACAAACAACAATAATGGCGTCGTCAAGACCGGGCGGGTATGTGTCACGAACGTCTTTCTCGAACAGGTCTTCTAAATTGTCGACACCATCGAGAATATCGAAGACAACAGTCGATGTGAGGGTTATAATCATGTCTTTCCGGTGTCCATGTTGTATATCATTTAATGTAGGTAAAAATGTTATGAACACACCTCCTGTCAGAGCTATAGTTGTCTTTAACGTGTTCGATCCGAAGAAAGAATCTTCGTCCAAATCTGTGGAAAATGTACTGAATATGACAAAGATCTTAACATCCATAATAACTGTATACACAAACCAAGCTATAAACGTCAACGGTAAGTGTTTAACATCAGAAAATGAAAGGCCTTGAGAATGTTTTTCTACATTCATGTTTCTCGAGGCCATCATAAAAGAAATAGCAAACAGTGCTATGACAACAGCATCTGCGCTGTAGATCGCTGCCCACGTGTTGGAGAGATTGCTCATCAGATACCAGTTCATGCAAACTGCCTGAAGAATCAGAAAGAAAACACACAGCGTTCTTGTAGGCCAATGATGCAAACATCGCTTCGCTTGACTTGCCATACTTAATATTATGTGTAGATTAACACTTTACGACACTCAAACGCTCCGAAGATTTTATTTTCACTTATATCAACACTGAGTAGCAGGTAAAACTGTCGAAGCTTTAACGTTGTAATCTGTGACAGGTCGGATTATCCTTTGACAGAAACAAGTTTATGAGATGACTTGTTAAATACCTTTTACCAGTTGACACAAGAACATCAGTTGCTACGTTTTAAATAATAATTAGTATTTGAGGTTATCTGAAAAAAATAATATAGGTAATAAGAGTTATTTTAATAGTGTTTCATAAAAACTGTGGCTAGTGATGAATGAAGGGTATTGGTCTGATAATTCCTAATCATCATTCTACCAGTTTTTTTTTGCAGAGCTGAAAACACGCAATAACAGACATCAGTGGTTATAACCCGGTATAGAACGGTATAATCCACGATAAAATCATACATCTTAATTGCTTGAAACAATCATAAAGTATAATAAAATAAAGGTTTGCCTTTTTCTTCAGATGAAAAAATAGTATTCATTTTTAAGGCTCACTGTGCCTTTAAAGATTAGTAATGAAAATAGTCTATTAGTTGGCACATTATGCCTCAGCAATCCATATTGTTTAATACTTTAGAAATGTCAAACATTTATTAAATAGTGCTTCGATAATGGATTTAGAACATTTTAGATGTTAATCATCAGAAGAAAGTAGGGATGTACGTGCCGTGTTGTGTTGCAAAGCTAACATAATATAAACAAGGTAGTATTTTGACTATCATACAAAAACAACAACAACAACAACAAAAAAAAACCCAAAAGAAAACTAATTCACTATAATTACCAATTGCCAACAGAACACATGTAGCAAAAAAATGTTTATACATTAGGCAAATGAGTTTTCTTTTTCGAAAGGTGTAGTAGATCCAATAAGATATCAAAAGTAAAAAAGTTTTTGAGAAATAAAATGGATAAAATTTCTAAGGCATAATGGTAGAACATAGCAAAATTAAATACCATTTGTCAGTCCTTAAAGGGATGTAATTACGGAATTTGCGCATTGATTCAAATCATTGAATACACATGGTTCTGAAGGTTTGAAAATCTCATTACCATCAGCAACGAAAATTGACTGCTTTTGTTTATTTTTATTTACTACGCTCTTATTGTCGATGATGTCACTTATGACATTATTACTCTCTTCTTCCGATGTGTGTTCAATACCTTCAACAATGACTTCAGATGCAACAGTTTCTTTAGATCTTGTTTTCGGTAGACGACCTGCTCGCCGAATAAGAAGCACGGAGCGCAAAACATATTCCGCCAATGCTCCGGGAATATATTAACCAAGAATCGGTGCTGAAACTTTTTGTAACTTTTCCTCCGCTGAATCTATAAGATATCGCAATATAGATCATTTTAAAAGATATTAATTAATACTGTTTATTTCATAATTCTTTATATAATGATAAAAAATATAGTTGGTGAATATATGTTGCCCCGACCACACTACCCCCTCTGTTTTGATCACTTTTTTAGAACTTTTAGCGCATGTGATTTTTCGGAATACAGTATTGATTTGTACGTACGGGCGTACAGGAGTACGCCTAGTTAATCCCCTGGTATCATCAAGATAAAGCCACAAAAAAGTATATGGTAACTATGAGATACATGATCCGATATGACATCTCTATGTAAACGGGGGACGGAGAGTTTAGGTTTGTTTCTCGGCACCATTTTTGTAACTTAGTAAAAGAAATGAAAATAAAAACAAATTTTACTTTTATGAATTGTATTAAGTATTTTAGACATGACATTTTCATAGTTTACATAAAAATGAATAAGGATGGGAAATAATAAAAGATCGGAAAACTTCCGATAAATAAAGACAACAGCTTAACCGCAATGGTGATCAGAGCGCTTTCTGTAAAACCTTCACACGTTTAGTGTTCGTTAAAGTATGACGTCATGAACGTGTCCATTAACAAAAAACTTGCTTATAGTAATTTAGATACAGAATGAAATAAATTTTCGTTCGCAAAAGTGCCAAATAAATCCAAATAGTTACATGTTTAGCAGAATAAAATAATTGCCTAACTTTAAACATGAAAAGTGATCGTATAGTGTACTGTATATTACCAAAATGGAAATTAAGATATCAGAAATAAATAGAGGTAAGTACCTGATTACTATGGCCCGTATTCAGAAACGATACTTAATCTCAATCTCGACTTAAACTCACAAAAGGTCATATCGCTGGAGTAGACTAAGGTAAGTAACTCACAATGTGAAAAGTGGCATTCATTTTGTTAACTCAAACTCACCTCTCGTGACGCGATCAGTTTTGTTGCATAACAACACTCAATTTATATTGCAAACAATGCTTGTAAAAAGTGTATTTAACACAAGTGGAAAAATAGTGAAATAATCATATATTAAAACTCTTAATAAAAAAGGAAAACAAAAAAATATTTGAATCTGCGTTCGATAAAACAATACCATGGGGAAAAATTGATAAAGAATTTAATAGTTTTCAAGTTCATGTAGTAGATTCCAGAATGGCAAAAAAATGTTGGAAAACATGAAAGACGGGACGAAAAAGAAAGAAATAATGAAAGGCTTCAGACAGGCTTTAAGAACTGAAAACAAAATGTTATATTTCAAAAACGTTAACTTTATTTTGAAAGTAGCCTCCAATTGTTTATGTCAATGAATTTTTTTTTCAATACATATTTATATGATTGTCTTAATCATCTTATGACATATCTTTTATAAAAACCCATTATGCCTATGAAATGCTAATATTTTTATTTCTCATTTTTTTTTATATTCTTGGTATCTTGCAACAGTTCCAAAACATGCTCATTTGCCACACCGACGAACCAGCTTTTGCTTTTGTTTTGCTTTTTGCAATTGTTACAACAATTAACTCTCATTAAGTAAATTAATTCAAAATCAATGCTCAAAAGTAAGTGAAATTCAGTATTTTTTTATTTAGGACACCTGAAGGTAGCCCCTTCCTAATCTTACAAATTTCCAACTTTCCTGAGTTCACTCGACACCTACTTTATAATTCGAGCCGCGTCACGACAAAACCAACGTAATGCGTTTGCGACCAGCATGGATCCAGACCAGCCTGGATCCATGCTGGTCGCAAACCCACTTTTCTGAATACGGGCCTATATATGACAGATAATAAATTGTTCTAGAACAAAATATCACTTCCCGTCATATAAATGTCCATACCGAATCAGTTAGAACTCTATCAACATTTCATCTTCACGAAATATTTTGTAAAAATAGCCAAATTAACAATACATTTATGTTGTTTTATCCAAGTTTGAAAAACGCATGGAAAACATGCTCTTGGTAGAGCAATCCACTTTAAAGATGAAATATTTCTCATTCTAAAGAAGAAGTAATATTTTTTATATAAGAATTAAATGAGATATAAGTCAAATCGTTCGTCGTTTTATGTTTAAAAGAAAGGAAAAATAGACAAATATTGCAACGAAAACTTTGAAATTAAGTCTCCCTGCATTAATTGTTTTATACTTATCTAAAGAATATCATCATGACGATTTTGTTTTAAGCGACAAATATCCAATATAACTTTTTGATAAAACATTTGAACCGCGGTTTTGAAGCTATGCCAAATTTCAGCTGAAAATATTGATTTGGAGTGAAGCCTTCTCGATTTTTATCATTTATTGTTTAAATAGGCACTCTATTGGCAATTTTTGTTATTTCAACATTAATTCTACAAGACGTGAAACGTCCTAAACAGAAATTACGTACACAACAGTCGAACAAAATAGTTCATGATTTGGAGTGAAGCTCGAAAATGTAGCAGTTTTTTCTGGGCAACATTCACCTTCATATTTAGACTTTAGGCTGAGAAATTCTGCAATATTTCATCTAAGGTGAAATCTAGCACTTTTATGTCTTCACAAATCCTTGAAATTATTGTATCAAAACGTTATGATAATAGCATTTCTACTAAGTTCGATAATCCGTGAAGGAAGATAATTGTTTCAATTGTTACGGGCCCTTTTTGAAACATGCTTTAAAAAATATTTTGTGCATTTTAGCATTTTCAGCTGGTGCCAAATCTTAATTATATGATAAACATCCTTCCACAAAACAAACAAATATACAAAAACACTCACCTTCAATATAAATTAAGCCTCACTCGCTCTTATAACATAATAATATAACATATTAATACGTGGAGTAATCAAATACAATTTTACTCCGTATAACTGAAACTTAACTCTTATTATATCTGTAGTAGTAAGGAAGTGTAAATGTATACGCATTATCATTAAAATTTAAGAGTTGCAAATACAAGTTGATGTGGTGCCGGAAACATTGTGTAGCTACACAGATATCCATTTGGAATACATCTGCTTTTATCGATTAAAACTTAAAAATTAAAATGACCTTCTTATTTCATTTACAATTTTACATATTTCTTATACAACCAGTAATCAAAGTCCGAAAAGCCTTATTTGATTTATTTAAAAATTCATACATAATACTGTTACATAGATTAATAGGCTAAGGTTACTAAAATTAAGAGTTACAAAATTATAATCTCAGTGACGTTTTGAAACCATACATGTCCGTTTCTATTCAGCCGTGAATCCAAAGTTGTTCGGTCAATGCATTTAATTTATAAAATTAAAACTTAATTTTCTTTGCTTATGGTTAATTTATACGTCCGTTGTTTTCTGTAGATTTCCAGTGAGCTTATAGTTCAATACTTCGTATCGCTAATGCATTATACTTTTGTCATCTTTTTATATGCATTACACTTTTGTAATATTTCTTTATATGCATTACACTTTTGTCATCTTTCTTTATATGCGTTACACTTTTGTCATCTTTCTTTATATGCGTTACACTTTTGTAATATTTCTTTATATGCGTTACACTTTTGTCATCTTTCTTTATATGCGTTACAATCGTGTCATCTTTCCTTATGTGCGTTACAGATTTGTCATCTTTCTTTCTATGCGTTACACTTTTGTCACCTTTCTATATATGCGTTACATTTTCGTCACCTGTCTTTATATGCGTTACACTTATGTCATCTTTCTTTTATATGTTACTTAACTACAGAATCAATTCTACAAGAAGTATATATATGTATATATATTTTAATATATCATTGACAAAGCAAATCATCGATGTTTCAATTGTAGCACATTAGTGGGGCGTCATTTCAGCACAATAACAGAACTTAGTACAAACATGATACACCTTTTTCAAACGTAACGTACAATTTATTATGATAATAAATTCAAATGTAGAAGTTTGATGAATGCTTTGAAGTTTTATGTTAATTATTTGAAATATAACTCGGATTAATTTCACAATGTTTTGTTCTTTTATAATGAAAAAAATCACTTAGTGTCTGTAGAAATATGTACTATATAAAAGATTAAACCCATGAGGCTCATTCAACTATCTTACTTTGTTGTATAATGTTTAAACGTTTTGTTAATCAATTGTTATCTTTTGACTGAGCTGAAATGTAATTTCAAAGCAACTTTGCATCTAAGTAGTCCCCTGTATCTCTATATTACACGTATCTTTATATTACACGTATCTTTATATTACAGATAAGTGCAGTAGGAGAGGAGGGTGACGTCTAGGGCGGGGAAAGTGGAATGTAGTTAGACCTTTAAGCCATATACTAGTCATTTTCATAAGTTTATTGAAAAAAAGCTGTAATAAAGTAGACTTTGTGTTTTAGTAAAGTTGATAAGTGTAAATAAGAAAGTTCTCCAAAAACACGCATTTAAAATTGAAGGCACACCAGCCACGTTCTTAATTTATTCAATTTTGTATGATTAAATAAACAAAAATATATGTATAACAGTGGCAAATTGGACCAACTAAGTTGGATATGAATTGCCGTGAATGTTTGTAATTGTACTTTTTCAGTATCCCTATATACGCCTTTAACGACAAATGGTTGCCATAAAAATGCCACTCTGACATAATTCTCGGAATGTCCTACAAGAATTAATTAATTAAGTGCTATATTATATCAATATTAATTGACACGCATCATATAGGGTGAAAAAGAGCAGCGAATTGAGATCGCTATGATAGAAATGAGACCCCAGGGATACTTTATATTTCATAAGAGAATAATAGTAAATACATTCTACGTTCAGTATGCATTGACCCCGTTATGCACGCTTCCTATCCGCTTGAATAAGTAAGCAGTCACAGCAGCCATTAGTATTTCTGGCATAAAGCACAACGAACTCATTTCGTTTGATCGTATAAATGATATAGAGGATATTTGTTTGTTTGTGTGTAAGATGAAATTTTATTTCATCTCGTGGGCTTTAAAAACAGTATTCTCACGAGTGGCTACGCCACTCGTGAGAATACTGTTTTTAAAGTTCACGAGATGAAATAAAATTACATCTTACACAACAAACAAACAAATTTTCTTTTTATTTTATGCTTAAAAACAGGTTAAAACGAAATTTCCTTAATATTTACGTTAATATTAAAATCTGTTTTCCCCATTGAGAGCCTCTAAAAAGTCGAATTTCTCATTAAATACCAGAAGTCATGGGCTGAAAAATAAGTTCCACAATCAATGTTAAAAGGTAGTGATAGTATTCATTTTATTAAAAAAATATGTCTGATCGCTTGTTTTAATAATAAAAACAAACAATTTTAGTAGGAGAAAAGTCCAACCATCCATCCATATTTCTGTTACTGACTGCGAATTTATATTAGACCTGGCTTTGTTAAATGTAAACGGCCGCCATTTTTAAAGTTGTGTATTTCACTGGAGGAAAATAATTGTCTTTGATTCAGAGGGATATCATTTGGATTTGTTAGTCATACACCTTTTTAAGAAAGAAAACTTATTTGAGGTTTGTAACAGACAATAAATAAGTGTTGACAGATGTGTAAACATTCAAAAAAGTGGATAGGAAATTGGAAAACTTGGAAGCCTTACGAACGCTGGGTTGTTTACATATTCTTCGAGTGAAAGCTGCCATTGCTCTTCAAGATTTCATAAAGCATACGGCAGTTATTGCTCGTAGTATACTTAAATATTCCCAAATGTTATCAAGAGCAGTTTTGCATGTTGAAGGAATGTATTTTTCAGACTGTAAAAATGAAACAAAAAATTAAAGAGACGATATTTGGTGATTGGTAATTTGAATGAATAGAAGTGACATACTGTAAGTTTTCTTCTTTTTATTAATTTTGATATGTAAGATATTTATCAATTTCAGCTTTGCTTTTCTTTAAGCAGCCTGACATTGTCGGAATAGTCAGCAAAAATAAAATTCAGGTACCACATGGGGAATATCTTAAAAAAGTAGTTTCGTCATTGAAAAGTGTGAAATTATATTTTGATAATTTTCACTGTGAAATTATCAAATATAATTTTCACGGATAAATCAGTAATCCGCTGAAAAGCATAAAATAGATTACTTTCATATTGAACCGTATGAGAAATCGGACTGTCAATGCGATATGCCACTTCTAGTTAAACGTTACAGCTATTGTATTATGTGCTGAAGCCAGAATTAGCCAAACAGGCTAAAACTGTTTTATGCAGAGGAGCAAAACCTTGTTTCACCACAGCTTATCATATCATGGCCTCAATTTTCCTCAAAATGAAAGATATCGATGTAAAAGACGATTTTCACACTTCTGTGTGCTTTTACTAAGACATTTACGATATATCTATTTAGGTAATGTTTGGGGAAACACTGTTAGAACTGTATATAAAATATATAGAGCAAGTACATAATTTAAACCATAAACGGATGTCTTTCTTTTTGGGTATTATTTGAGTGATTGTCCTGTCCGTACTCTGCCTTGCGCCCTGTCCTTGGCTCCTTGGCGCTGGTTCTTGTTGCTGGGTCATGTGGAGGTTGCGTTCATTGAACGCCGCCTTTCCTTGTTTATCTTGTCTATTATATTTTATGCTTTATTTGCCGATGTTACCTGCTTTGATTTGAGAACAATCCAATGTTTTCAAAATGTAATCAGATGTTATCTAATGGGATTTAATATAATTCTAACATATGAATGCTAATATCAAAAGTCTGGTCATACTAAACATACACTGTGTACCTGCATACAGGCCTACCTAACATACTTGTGGCTGAACATGAATTCATACAATCCGTCTGTTATTTGCCTAACATAAGGAGCACAACTACAGATATGTTACCGTGACTATTTGCATTACACTACAATTAAAAGCAGTTTGACAGATGATTAAATAAATAATTTATTTATCTATTTATTTAAAGGCGTATGCTACAGTAATATGTTAACATATGAGGATACTAAAAACTGTGAAAATATAATTTTTTAGATAATGCATGATCTTAGAGTATGATGTTTCATAATGTTAAAACAAAGCTACATTAGATACTTATACACTAACAATTCAATTGCGAAGATCTAACAAAAATTTCGGCAATCTCTTTCGCATCGAAGTGGCATCTCTGCTTTATTTAGAGAATGTGCTCTACATATACACTACAATGAAGTGGCCGCTTCATGTGAATCACCTGATTCTTTTCTTTCATGGCTTTTCTTTGAGAAGATAAGCTTCTCACCCACTTCAAAAGTCACAACACCCATCGCCATTATATTCTTAAGGAGGAAAATGGAAATACCTTGAGAAAGACCATGCCACGTGATCATTCGTGTAATAAACAGTGGTAAATTAATAAGGTAAGCTATAGCAAATTTATGTAACAATTCCAATTTAAACGGCAGTTTCTTAATGCCGAACTTTGTTTTCGCGAGCGTGAACAACGGAACTGTGGGTAACAGGAAGTTGATGCAACAAACAGCAATAATGGCGTCGTCAAGACCTGGCGGGTATGTGTCACGAACGTCTTTCTCGAACAGATTTTCTAAATTGTCGACCCCATCGAGAATATCGAATACAACAGTTGATGTGAGGGTTATAATGATGTCTTTCCGGTGTCCATGTTGTATATCATTTAATGTAGGTAAATATGTTATAAACACAATTCCTGTCAGAGCTATAGTTGTTTTCAATGTGTTCGGTCCGAAGAAAGAATCTTCGTCCAAATCTGTGGAAAATGTACTAAATATGACAATGATCTTAACATCCATAATAACTGTATACACAAACCAAGCTATATACGTCAACGGTAAGTGTTTAACATCAGAAAATGTAAGACTTTGAGAATGTTTTTCTATATTCATGTTTCTCGAGGCCATCATAAAAGAAAGAGCAAATAGTGCTATGACAACAGCATCTGCGCTGTAGATCGCTGCCCACGTGTTGGAAAGGTTGCTCATCAGATACCAGTTCATGCAAACTGCCTGAAGAATCAGAAGAAAAACACACAGCGTTCTTGTAGGCCAATGATGCAAACATCGCTTGGCTTGATTCGCCATACTTTAATACTATGTGTAGATTAACACTTTACGACACTCAAACGCTCCGAAGATTTTATTATCACTTATATCAACACTGAGTAGCAGGTAAAACTGTCGAAGCTTTAACGTTGTAATCTGTGACAGATCGGATCATCCGACAGAAACAAGTTTATGTTATGACATGTGGAATACCCTTTACCAGTTGACACAAGAACATCAGTTGCTGCGTTTTAAGTAATAATTAGTATCTGAAGTGATCTGAAAAAAAAATATATAGGTAATACAAATTATTCTTAGACTAATAGTGTTTCATAAAAACTGTGGCTAGTAATGAGGAAGTGGTATTGGTCTGATAATTCCTAATCATCATTCTACCAATTATTTGTCGTTTCATACAGAGCTGAAACACGCAATAAAAGATATCAGTGGTTATAACTCGGTATAAAACGGTATAACCCACGATATTTACATGTATCTAAAATGTTTTAAACTGTCATAAAATGCTTAAATAATAAAAGATCGGAAAACTTCCGATAAATAAAGACAACAGCTTACCGCAATCAGAGCGCTTCTTGTTACTTATGACGTAAACCTTCACACGTTCAAGTGTTCGTTAAAGTATGACGTCATAAACGTGTCCATTAACAAAACACTTGCTTATAGTAATTAAGATACAGAATGAGATAATTTTTTGTTGGCAAAAGTGCCAAATAAATCCAAATAGTTATGTGTTTAGCAGAGTAAAATAATTGCCTAACTTTAAACATGAAATGTGATCCTTTAGTTTATCAAAAAATGATCGTATAGTAGTAGTATCACCAAAATGGAAATTAAGATATCTGATTTGGTAATCTATTACACTATTCAGAAACGATACGTAATCTCAATCTCGACTTAAACTTCGCTGGAGTAGACTAAGGTAAGTAACTCACAATGTGAAAATTGGCATTCATTTTGTTAACTCAAACTCACCTCTCGTGACGCGATCAGTTTTGTTGCATAACAACACTCAATATATATTGCAAACTTGTAACAATGCTTGTAAAAAGTGTAGTGTATTTAACACAAGTGGAAAAAAATAGTGAAATAATCATATATTAAAACTCTTAATAAAAAAGGAAAACTAAAAAAATATTTGAATCTGCGTTCGATAAAACAAAACCATGGGGAGAAATTGATAAAGAATTTTAAAGTTTCCATGTTCATGTAGTAGATTCCAGAATGGCCAAAAAAATGTTGGAAAACCTGAAAGACAGGACGAAAAAAGGGAAGCTAAAGAAAGATGTGAAAGGCTTCAGACAGGCTTTAAGAACTGAAAACAAAATGTTACATTTCAAAAACGTTAACTTTATCTTGAAAGTAGACTCCAATTGTATATGTCAATGAATGTTTTTTTTTCAATACATATTTATATGATTGTCTTAATCATTTGATGACATATCTTTTTTAAAAACCCATTATGCCTATGAAATGCTAATATTTTTATTTCTCAAAAATTTTATATTCTTGGTATCTTGTAACAGTTCCAAAAATGCTCATTTGCCACACCGACGAACTAGCTTCTGCTTTTTTTTTGCTTTTTGCAAAGGGTATAATAATAGTGCATTTTATTACCCCTCACTGTTTTCGTAATGTTAATTTCCCATAGGCCTCTGAGAGTTATTCTTACTGTTAATGCAAGTGTACCACGTGACTAAGAATTTTGTACTGTTACATACATAGGTAACAGTATTTTGACAGTATAAAATCTGGTCACGTGGTCTATTTTCTAAATAAAATGAAATAAAATCGCCGCCATTTTTTTCTCGATTCATTCTTATTTTCGACGATAGGGCATCGCCGAAGTAACTATTACTCTCATAAAATTTAGTTCTTTGCACCCTAGAGTTCTTTTCGCGTATAAAATATCTTTTTGTTGAATAGTCAAAAATAACATCCGTTTTCAACCGAAGTAATTGAAATGTGAATAATTTTGTGTCAAACTGGAACATGCAGACGAATAAAGCATGCAAAAAAGGATTATTTAACAATTTTAACCAGATCATAACCGTATAAATGGGTTAGTGTTTTGTTTTCTATAGTAAATAAAACACAGCTTATTTTATGTTTATGACTGGTAGATATCATCACCTGCCTAAAAAGTAAAAGAAAAACAGTTTCTATCTCAAGTAGGCCTACAGTACACTTAAAACTTGCAATGTAAGGACAGTTTAGTTATTGCTTCTCTTGGTTTATTTTTGTTACAGTTAGATTTAGTTGACAAATTCAGATCATCACAGTATTTGTTCGGGGTAATAAAATAAATAACACATGGGTTTGTGGGTAACAGTAAAAATATCATCCCTCGTAGAAATACTGTTACCCTTGGCTACGCCTCGGGTAACAGTATTTTCCTCGGTATGATATTTTTACTGTTACCCACAAACCCATGTGTTATTTATATAATCATTTTGCATGGAAGTCAAAATACTACTTTGTTTACTCTTTTCTACCTTTACAACAATTAACTTTCATTAAGTAAATTAATTCAAAAGCAATGCTCAAAAGTAAGTGGTATTCAGTATTATTTTATTTAGGACACCTAAAGATAGCCCCCTCCTAATCATACAAATTCTCAACTTTCCTGAGTTCACTCAACTCTGAATACCACTTTACTGAAAGGTTGATGACTGTCTTAACCGTTAGGCAATTCTATGGGATTTACTCAATGAGTGTGAGTGTTAGTATCGATTCTGAATACGGGCCTATATATGACAGATAATTAATTGTTCTAGAACAAAATATTATTTCCCATCATATAAATGTCCATACCAGATCAGTTAGAACTCTATCAACATTTTATCTTCAAGAAATATTTTCTAAAAATATCCAAATAAATAATACATTTATATTTTTTATCCATGTTTGAAATACTCATGGAGAATATGCTCTTTGAAGACCAATCCACCTCAAAGATGACATCTATATCATTCCTAAGGAAAAGTAATATTTTTTGTAAGAATTAAATGACATGTAAGTCAAATCGTTCTTCATTTTATGTTTAAAAGAAAAGGAAAAAAACACAAATATTGTAACGAAATCGACCTCACCTGTTCCAGAATGCTCGATTTATGATAAATCTACATGTGCTCTCCCTGCATTTGCTGTTACATACTTATCTAAAGTTTATAATCATGACGATTTTGTTTTAAGCGTAAAATATCCAAAACTATTTGATAAAACTTTAGTTTGATACGTACTTATACACACGTTTTTACCTAAAAAGCTAAAACTTTACACACATCAACACCTAACTTCCTTCTTAGTGCGCTAAAACATGGTATTATGCTACAATTTCATTTTTAAACATTTTAATTGTGAAACAACGTAATATTATATAAAGATATAATGGAGGCTGACACACTTTCTTTTGTGCTGTTAGACATAAAATGTAATTGTGCGTATAATTTATACCATACCAAATCAGGGAAGACATCCTACGTGACCGAGTTAAATGGCGGCACACATAAACAAACCGATACAAATTCATATTTTCAAAGCCAGCTGCCTAAGTTACGAATTGAAGCAATGCAAAGCACCAACTTTTCTTTTTCCCTGGTACTATAGATTTCATCTCAAAAAGACGTATTTTATTCAAACTTTCGAACCGCGGTTTTGGAGCATGCAAAATTTTAGCTGAAAATCTTGATTTGGCGTAAAGCCTTCTCGATTTGTATCATTTATTGTTTAAATCGACACACTATTGGCAATCTTTGTTATTTCAACATTAATTCTACAAGACTTGCATGAAATGTCCTTAACTGAAATAACGTTCACAACATTCGAACAATATAGTTCATGATTTGAAGTGAAGCTCGAAAATGTAGCAGTTTTGATCAATTTTTATTCTGGGCAAAATTATGTTTAGACTTTAGGCTGAGATAGTCTGCAATATTTCATCTATTGTGAAATCTAGCACTTTTAAGTTTCACAAATCCTTAGAATGCTTGTATCAAAACGTTATGATAATAGCATTTCTACCAAGTTCGATAATCCGTGACTGGAGAAGATACTTATTTCAATTGATACGGCACCTTGTTTGAAACATGCTATAATACATATTTTGTGCATTTTAGAATTTTCAGTTGATGCCAAATCCTAATTTTATGATATACATGTAAACAGGACCTCACATTCATTGCAATAAATGTTAAAACGTTTCTAAACAGTTGTTAATAATGGTGTAAAGCAAGCCTTTGATATTATATTACCACGTTTTTGAGATTATCTGAACGCATATATTAGTGATGCTTTTGAGCGGTTTTATTCGCCGATGTTAAGTTACCCTAATGTAATGCCTCTCAAAGACGAACACGTATCGAGCACAGAACTTATTTCCATACTGTGTCGAGAGTATATATACCGGTGCATGAATTTCACGTGTATGCTTAATGTCGTGACCCGTAAGGTAAACTTCAACACACATGTATGGTTGACTATTCAAACCCGTTACAGTTAGATCATGGTTTTCCTCTGTACAATGTAACGCGGAGCACCAAGAACACTTTACATTTATCGATCTTTTTAGGATAATGCATGGAATATGATAAAATATCCTTCCACAAAACAAACAAATATACAAAAACACTCACCTTTAATATAAATTAAGCCTCACTCGCTCTTATAACATAATAATATAACATTAATACGTGGAGAAATCAAATACAATTTTACTCCGTATAACCGAAACTTAACTCTTATTATATCTGTAGTAGTTAGTACGTGTAAAATGTCTACGTATTATCATTAAAATTTAATAGTTAAAAAGATTTTTGCAAATGCAAGTTGATGTGGTGCCGGAAACAGATATCAATTTTGGATACATCTGGTTTTATCTATTAAAACTGATTAATTAAAATGACCTATTTATTTCATTTACCATTTAACATATTTCTTATACTACTATTAAAGTCCGGAAAGCCTTATTTGATTTATTTTAAAATTCATACATAGATTAAAGGATAAATAGGTTAAGTTTATTACTGGTTACTGAAATTAAGAGTTACATAATTATAATCTCAGTTACGCTTTGAAACCATACATGTCCGTTTCTATTCAGCCGTGTATCCAAACTTGTTCGGTCAATGCATTTATTGTACATAAACCGCGGCGCAAGAGTGTAATAAAGCCATTACTAAAAACGATATTACACTAGACGATATTACACTAGTGTAATAACACTTTGACGTGACGTCATTTGCGCTATATTCATAGCGTTACTTAGAGGATATTTGTTTAGTTCAGTGTAAGATTTCACGAGTCAGCCACGAGTGAAATATGAACTTTTTCATGTTCACAAGGTGAAATATATTTCCATCTTACACTAAACTAAACAAATTTTCTTTTTATTACATGTAAAGAAACGTTTTAAAAAGACATTAACCTAATGAAAAGCGCGCCAAATAATAAACAACGTGACGTCATTTACGACGTCACGTCATTAAGTTGGTACCCAGTACTGTGCACGCTGGTATTTCACTGAAACAACGAAAGGGGCTTAAATTCAAAACAGTGAAATTATCAAAGTAGTAATTTCACTGTTTCAAACAGTGAAATTACCAGTTTTATATCACTGATATATTTCTATAAACCACCGAAAAGCATGTAATAAATTACATTCTAACACTATCGGAAATTTTTCTATATAAACAAAGAAGGCCGGAAGCGTGCATTATTCTGCAACAATGCACACGCCGTTCTTATTATCTCCCTGTGTATTTACACATTGAGGGCGCCATTTTGTTTGAAAAATCTGATAAATTAAAAACAATTTTTTGTCGAATTTTGTTGTGAAAACTATCTAGAATGATAGAAAATGGTCTAACTAAGAAAATAAATTCGAACACCAATATCTTTAATTCAGTCGTTAACGCTGTACAGACGTTTAAAGTGTTGTTTACGTGACGTCACAATGTAGCGCCAAACAGCACGTGCAAAACAATCAAAATCAAGTACGCTATTTTAACGTCGCAGACGAGTTAAGTTTTACATTTATTTCACTTTTAATAATTTGTATTTCGCTTGGAAAATTATAGACTGAAATAAAATAAACAAACAAAGTTTTATCAACATTTTCAAAATTCGTTTTTCTCAAAATGTTTCTACACACGGTAGATTTAACGACAGTTTTTTTCAACCCACTGGAACGGCCTTTAAAAAACGTTTCTATTGGAAACTCTGAGGCGAAAACAAATTTAACCGCCAAACATAAAGTCCAACTTAATAATAATAATTATATTTTTTCTTGACGTGTTAGAATGGAAATAGATATTAATTCTTCGTGCATTATTGTATAATAATGCACGTTTTTCGTTCAAATGCTTTGTAATTAATCACTCAGGCCTATCGGCCTTCGTGATTATATTACTACGCATTTGAACTCAAACCGTGCATTATTCTACAACAATGCACTCAGAATTGATATCTATTTCCTAAATAAAACACTGGAAAGCATGAAATAAACTTTTGTCATCTTTCTTTATATGCGTTACAATCGTGTCATCTATCCTTATGTGCGTTACAGATTTGTCATCTTTCTTTCTATGCGTTACACTTTTGTCACCTTTCTATAATATTATATGCGTTACATTTTCGTCACCTGTCTTTATATGCGTTACACTTATGTCATTTTTCTTTTATATGTTACTTCACTACAGAATCAATTCTACAAGAAGTATATATATGTATATATTTTAAGATATCATTGACAAAGCAAATCATCGAGGTTTCAGTTGTAGTACATTAGTGGGGCGTCATTTCAGCACAATAACAGAACTTAGTACAAACATGATACACCTTTTTCAAACGTAACGTAAAATTTATTATGATAATAAATTCAAATGTAGAAGTTTGATGAATGCTTTGAAGTTTTATGTTAATTATTTGAAATATAACTCGGATTAATTTCACATTGTTTTGTTCTTTTATAATGAAAACATTCACTTAGTGTCTGTAGAAATATGTACTATATAAAAGATTAAACCCACGAGGCTCATTCAACTTTCTTACTTTGTTGTATAATGTTCAAACGTTTTGTTAATCAATAGTTATCTTTTGACTGAGCTGAAATGTAATTTCAATGCAACTTTGCATCTAAGTAGTCCCCCGTATCTCTATATTACACGTATCTTTATATTACAGATAAGTGCAGTAGGAGAGGAGGGGGCGGGGAAAGTGGAATGTAGATGGGGGCGTTTTTCATTAGATCTTTAACCCATATACTAGTATTTTCATGAGTTTATTGAAAAGAGTTAAAGCTGTAATAAAGTAGACTTTGTGTTTTAGTAAAGTTGATAAGTGTAAATAAGAAAGTTCTCCAAAAACACGCATTTAAAATTGAAGGCACACCAGCCACGTTCTTAATTTATTCAATTTTGTATGATTTAATAACAAAAATGAATGTATAACAGTGGCAAATTAGACTTAGTGGGATATGAATTGCCGTGAATGTTTGTAATTGTACTTTTTCAGTATCCCTATATACGCCTTTAACGACAAATGGTTGCCATAAAAATGCCGCTCTGACATAATGCTCGGAATTTCCAACAAGAATTAATTAATTAAGTGCTATATTATATCAATATTAATTGACAAGCATCATATAGGGTGAAAAAGAGCAGCAAATTGAGATCGCTATGATAGAAATGAGACCCCAGGGATACTTTATATTTCATAAGAGGATAATAATAGTAAATAAATTCTTCGTTCAGTATGCATTGACCCGGTTATGCACGCTTTCTATTCGCGTGAATAAGAAAGCAGTCACAGCAGCCATTAGTATTTCTTCACATAGCACGGCGAACTCATTTCGCTTGATCGTATAAATGACATCACTTTCATATTGACCCGTTGTCAATGCGATATGCCACTTCTAGTTAAACGTTACAGTTATTGTATTATGTGCTGGAGCCAGATATGGCCAAACAAACTAAAACTGTTTTATGCAGAGTACCAAAACGTAGTTTCATCACAGCTTATCACATCATGATCTTATTTTTCTCAAAATTAAAGATATCGCTGTAAAAGATGATTTACCACTTTTGTGTGCTTTTACTAAGACATTTACGATATATCTATTCAGGTAACGTTTGAAAAAAAAACACTATAAGAACTGGTGTTTAAAATTCATAGAGCAAGTACATAATTTAAACCATAAACGTACGTCTTTTTTCTTTTTTTTTTTTGGGGGGGGGGGGGGGTATCATTTTAGTGATTGTCCTGTCCGTGCTCTGCCTTGCGCCTTGTTCTTGGTTCCTTGCCACTGGTTCTTGTTGCTGTGTTGTTTGGGGAACGCCGCCTTTCCTTGTTGAATTTGTCTATCATAATTATTTTTTAAGCTTTGATTCGAGAACAATCCAATGTTTATAAAAAGAAATCAGATGATATCTAATGGGATTTAACATAATCCTAACATTTGAATGCTAATATTAAAAGTCTGGTCATACTAAACATTCCTGCATACAGGCCTATCTAAACATACTTTTGGCTGAACATGAATTCATCCAATCCGCCTGCTATTTGCCTAACATAAGGAGCACAACTACAGATATGTTACCGTGACTATTTGCATTACACTACAATTAAAAGCAGTTTGACAGATGATTTAATAAAACATTTATTTATTTAAAGGCGTTTGCTACAGTAATATGTAAACATATAAGGATAATTAAAATTGATGAAAATATATACATTTTTAAGATTATGCATGATCTTAGAATAAGATAAGATATTTTAAACGAAAATATTAAAAGTCATCGGGCTCGTTTATCTGCCTTTCAATTAAAATATATTTACAATTTCATGTCATTCAAGGGCAGATATTTTATACATAAGTTTGGTTAACATTTCTTTTACAATTTGGTTTGCGTTTTTAATTTTATCCTTGGTCGCAAAAAAAATCACGGAAATCATTTAAACATTTTCAAATTCAAGGACAGATAACTCTAAATAGAGTTTTTTTTAAATTATATATGAAATCATACAAACGTTAAAATATTTACATCCATTACTTCTTTAAAAACCTATTGATAAGGCAATTCAGTGTTTTTTTTGTTACCTACCTGTTATGAATATATACTTTTAAAAGATATGACAAGAAAATTACTAATTCAATTCATGTATTTGAGACTGCTTTGTTACTAAGCACGATAATAGTTTCATAATGTTAAAACAGAACTACATTAGTTACTTCTTCAACTAAGAATTAAAATGCAAAATTTTAACAAAAATTTCGGCGATCTTTCTTGTCTGGAAGTGACATTTCTGCTTTATTTAGACTTTAACGAGAATGTGTTCTACAAATATATACTACAAAGAAGAGGCTGCTTCATGTTGATCGTCCGATCCTTTTCTTTCATGACTTTTCTTTGAGAAGACGAGCTTTTCACACACTTCAAATGTCACAACACCCATCGCCATTATATTCTTCAGGAGGAAAATAGAAATACCTTGAGACAGACCATGCCACGTGATCATTCGAGTAATAAACAGAGGTAAGTTTATAAGGTAAGCTATAGCAAATTTATGTAACAATTCCAATTTAAATGGTAGTTTCTTTATGCCGAACTTTGTTTTCGCGAGCGTGAACAACGGAACTGTGGGTAATAGGAAGTTGATGCAACAAACAGCAATAATGGCGTCGTCAAGACCTGGCGGGTATGTGTCACGAATGTCTTTCTCGAGCAAGTTTTCAAGATTGTCGACACCATCGAGAATATCGAATACAACAGTCGATGTGAGGGTTATAATGATATCTTTCCGGTGCCCATGTTGTACATCATTTAATGTAGGTAAATATGTTATAAACACAATTCCTGTCAGAGCTATAGTTGTTTTCAATGTATTCGGTCCGAAGAAAGAATCTTCGTCCAAATCTGTGGAAAATGTACTAAATATGACAATGATCTTAACATCCATAATAACTGTATACACTAACCAAGCTATATACGTCAACGGTAAGTGTTTAACATCAGAAAATGTAAGACTTTGAGAATGTTTTTCTATATTCATGTTTCTCGAGGCCATCATAAAAGAAAGAGCAAATAATGCTATGACAACAGCATCTGCGCTGTAGATCGCTGCCCACGTGTTGGAAAGGTTGCTCATCAGATACCAGTTCATGCAAACTGCCTGAAGAATCAGAAGAAAAACACACAGCGTTCTTGTAGGCCAATGATGCAAACATCGCTTCGCTTGATTCGCCATACTTTAATACTATGTATATAGATTAACACTTTACGACACTCAAACTTAAGTATATAAAGCTCCGAAGATTTTATTGTCAATTATATTAACACTCAGTAACAGGTAAAAACTGTTGAAGCTTTAACGTTGTAATCTGTGACAGATCGGATCATCCAACAGAAACAAGTTTATGTTATGACATGTGGAATACCCTTTACCAGTTGACACAAGAACATCAGTTGCTGCGTTTTTAGTAATAATTAGTATCTAAAGTGATCTGAAAAAAAATATATAGGTAATACAAATTATTTTTAGACTAATAGTGTTTCATAAAAACTGTGGCTAGTAATGAGGAAGTGGTATTGGTCTGATAATTCCTAATCATCATTCTACCAATTATTTGTCGTTTCATACAGAGCTGAAACACGCAATAAAAGATATAAGTGGTTATAACTCGGTATAAAACGGTATAACCCACGATATTTACATGTATCTAAAATGTTTTAAACTGTCATAAAATGCTTAAATAATAAAAGATCGGAAAACTTCCGATAAATAAAGACAACAGCTTACCGATCAGAGCGCTTCTTGTTACTTATGACGTAAACCTTCACACGTTCAAGTGTTCGTTAAAGTATGACGTCATAAACGTGTCAATTAACAAAACACTTGCTTATAGTAATTAAGATAAAGAATGAGATAATTTTTTGTTGGCAAAAGTGCCAAATAAATCCAAATAGTTAAGTGTTTAGCAGAGTAAAATAATTGCCTAACTTTAAACATGAAATGTGATCCTTTAGTTTATCAAAAAATGATCGTATAGTAGTAGTATCACCAAAATGGAAATTAAGATATCTGATTTGGTAATCTATTACACTATTCAGAAACGATACGTAATCTCAATCTCGACTTAAACTTCGCTGGAGTAGACTAAGGTAAGTAACTCACAATGAAAATTGGCATTCATTTTGTTAACTCAAACTCACCTCTCGTGACGCGATCAGTTTTGTTGCATAACAACACTCAATATATATTGCAACTTGTAACAATGCTTGTAAAAAGTGTAGTGTATTTAACACAAGTGGAAAAAAATAGTGAAATAATCATATATTAAAACTCTTAATAAAAAAGGAAAACTAAAAAAATATTTGAATCTGCGTTCGATAAAACAAAACCATGGGGAGAAATTGATAAAGAATTTTAAAGTTTCCATGTTCATGTAGTAGATTCCAGAATGGCCAAAAAAATGTTGGAAAACCCGGAAAAAAGGGAAGCTAAAGAAAGATGTGAAAGGCTTCAGACAGGCTTTAAGAACTGAAAACAAAATATTACATTTCAAAAACGTTAACTTTATCTTGAAAGTAGACTCCAATTGTATATGTCAATGAATGTTTTTTTTTCAATACATATTTATATGATTGTCTCAATCATCTTATGACATATCATTTTAAAAAAAAACCATTATGCCTATGAAATGCTAATATTTTTATTTCTCAAAATTTTTATATTCTTGGTATCTTGTAACAGTTCCAAAAATGCTCATTTGCCACACCGACGAACTAGCTTCTGCTTTTTTTTTTTTGCTTTTTGCAAAGGGTATTATAACAGTGCATTTTATTACCCCTCACTGTTTTCGTAATGTTAATTTCCCATAGGCCTCTGAGAGTTATTCTTACTGTTAATGCAAGTGTACCACGTGACTAAGAATTTTGTACTGTTACATACATAGGTAACAGTATTTTAACAGTATAAAATCTGGACACGTGGTCTATTTTCTAAATAAAATGAAATAAAATGGCCGCCATTTTTTTCTCGATTCATTCTTATTTTCGACGATAGGGCATCGCCGAAGTAACTATTACTCTCATAAAATTTAGTTCTTTGCACCCTAGAGTTCTTTTCGCGTATAAAATATCTTTTTGTTGAATAGTCAAAAATAACATCCGTTTTCAACGGAAGTAATTGAAATGTGAATAAGTTTGTGTCAAACTGGAACATGCAGACGATTAAAGCATGCAAAAAAGGATTATTTAACAATTTTAACCAGATCATAACCGTAGAAATGGGTTAGTGTTTTGTTTTCTAAATAAAACACAGCTTATTTTATGTTTATGACTGGTAGATATCATCACCTGCCTAAAGAGTAAAAGAAAAACAGTTTCTATCTCAAGTAGGCCTACAGTACACTTAAAACTTGCAATGTAAGGACAGTTTAGTTATTGCTTCTCTTGGTTTATTTTTGTTACAGTTAGATTTAGTTGACAAATTCAGATCATCACAGTATTTGTTCGGGGTAATAAAATAAATAACACATGGGTTTGTGGGTAACAGTAAAAATATCATCCCTCGTAGAAATACTGTTACCCACGGCTAGGGTAACAGTATTTTCCTCGGTATGATATTTTTACTGTTACCCACAAACCCATGTGTTATTTATATAATCATTTTGCATGGAAGTCAAAATACTACTTTGTTTACTCTTTTCTACCTTTACAACAATTAACTTTCATTAAGTAAATTAATTCAAAAGCAATGCTTAAAAGTAAGTGGTATTCAGTATTATTTTATTTAGGACACCTAAAGATAGCCCCCTCCTAATCATACAAATTCTCAACTTTCCTGAGTTCACTCAACTCTGAATACCACTTTACTGAAAGGTTGATGACTGTCTTAACCGTTAGGCAATTCTATGGGATTTACTCAATGAGTGTGAGTGTTAGTATCGATTCTGAATACGGGCCTATATATGACAGATAATTAATTGTTCTAGAACAAAATATTACTTCCCGTCATATAAATGTCCATACCGAATCAGTTAGAACTCTATCAACATTTTATCTTCAAGAAATATTTTCTAAAAATATCCAAATAAATAATACATTTATATTTTTTATCCATGTTTGAAATACTCATGGAGAATATGCTCTTTGAAGACCAATCCACCTCAAAGATGACATCTATATCATTCCAAAGGAAAAGTAATATTTTTGTAAGAATTGAATGACATGTAAGTCAAATCGTTCTTCATTTTATGTTTAAAAGAAAAGGAAAAAACACAAATATTGTAACGAAATCGACATCACCTGTTCGAGAATGTTCGATTTATGATAAATCTACATGTGCTCTCCCTGCATTTGCTGTTACATACTTATCTAAAGTTTATAATCATGACGATTTTGTTTTAAGCGTAAAATATCCAAAACTATTTGATAAAACTTTAGTTTGATACGTACTTATACAAAACACACACGTTTTTACCTAAAAAGCTAAAACTTTCCACACATCAACACCTAACTTCCTTCTTAGTAAGGTAAAACATGGTATTATGCTCCAATTTCATTTTTGAACAATTTAATTGTGAAACAACGTAATATTATATAAAGATAAATTGAAGACTGACACGCTTTCTTTTGAGTTGTTAGACATAAAATGTAAAAGTGCGTATAAGTTATACCACACAAAATCAGGGAAGCCACCCTATGTGACCTGTGATATCAGAAATGATATGGAGTTAAATGGCGGCACACATAAACAAACCGATACAAATCCATATTTTCAAAGCTAGCTGCCTAATTTACGAATTGAAGCAATGCAAAGCGCCAACTTTTCTTTTTCCCTGGTACTATAGATTTCATCTCAAAAAGACGTATTTAATTCAAACTTTCGAACCGCGGTTTTGAAGCAATCAAAATTTTAGCTGAAAGTCTTGATTTGGCGTGAAGCCTTCTCGATTTATATCATTTATTGTTTTAAATCGACACACTATTGGCAATCTTTGTTATTTCAACATTAATTCTACAAGACTTGCATGAAATGTCCTTAACTGAAATAACGTTCACAACATTCGAACAATATAGTTCATGATTTGGAGTGAAGCTCGAAAATGTAGCAGTTTTGATCAATTTTTATTCTGGGCAAAATTATGTTTAGACTTTAGGCTGAGATAGTCTGCAATATTTCATCTATTGTGAAATCTAGCACTTTTAAGTTTCACAAATCCTTAGAATGCTTGTATCAAAACGTTATGATAATAGCATTTCTACCAAGTTCGATAATCCGTGACTGGAGAAGATACTTATTTCAATTGATACGGCACCTTGTTTGAAACGTGCTATAATACATATTTTGTACATTTTAGAATTTTCAGTTGATGCAAAATCCTAATTTTATGATATACATGTAAACAGGACCTCACATTCATTGCAATAAATATTAAAACGTTTCTAAACAGTTGTTAATAATGGTGTACAGCAAGCCTTTGATATTATATTACCACGTTTTTGAGATTATCTGAACGCATATATTAGTGATGCTTTTGAGCGGTTTTATTCGCCGATAAGTTACCCCAATGTAATGCCTCTCAAAGACGAACACGTACCGTGCACATACTGTGTCGAGAGTATATATACCGGTGCATGAATTTCACGTGTATGCTTAATGTCGTGATCCGGAAGATAAACTTCGGACCAATGGTTTTCCTATGTATAATGTAACGCGGACCACCAAGAACACTACATTTATCGATCTTTTTCGGATAATGCATGGAATATGATAAAACATCCTTCCACAAAACAAACAAATATACAAAAACACTCACCTTTAATATAAATGAAGTCTCACTCGCTCTTATAACATAATAATATAACATATTAATACGTGGAGAAATCAAATACAATTTTACTCCGTATAACTGAAACTTAACTCTTATTATATCTGTAGTAGTTAGTACGTGTAAAATGTCTACGTATTATTATTAAAATTTAAAAGTTAAAAAGATTTTTGCAAATGCAAGTTGATGTGGTTCCGAAAACATTGTGTAGATACATTGATATCAATTTTGGATATATCTGCTTTTATCGATTAAAACTGATGAATTAAAATTACCTATTTATTTCATTTACCATTTAACATATTTCTTATACTACTATTAAATTCCGGAAAGCCTAATTTGATTTATTCTAAAATACATACATAAAACTTTTATATAGATTAAAGGATATATAGGTTAAGTTTATTACTGGTTACTGAAATTAAGAGTAACATAATCATAATCTCAGTTACGCTTTGAAACCATACATGTCCGTCGTTTCTGTTCACCCATTTATCCAAAATTGTTCGGTTAATGCATTTATTTTAAAAGGAGATTTAATGTTTGAAATTAAAACTTAATTTTCTATGCTTATGGTTAATTTATACGTCCGTTGTTTTCTGTAGATTTCCAGTGAGCTTATAGTTCAATACTTCATATCGCTAATGCATTAAACTTTGTCATCTTTTTATATTTGTTATACTTTTGTCATCTTTCTTTATATGCGTTACACTTTTGTCATCTTTCTTTATATGCGTTACACACTTTTGTCATCTTTCTTTATATGCGTTACACTTTTGTCATCTTTCTTTATATGCGTTACACTTTTGTCATCTTTCTTTATATGCGTTACACTTTTGTCATCTTTCTTTATATGCGTTACACTTTTGTCATCTTTCTTTATATGCGTTACACTTTTGTCATCTTTCTTTATATGCTTTCACTTTTGTCATCTTTCTTTATATGCTTTACACTTTTGTCATCTTTCTTTATATGCGTTACACTTTTGTCATCTTTCTTTATATGCGTTACACTTTTGTCATATTTCTTAATTTGCTTGACACTTTTGTCATCTTTCTTAATATGCTTGACACTTTTGTCATCTTTCTTTATATGCGTTATACTTTGGTCATCTTTCTTTATATGCTTGAGACTTTTGTCATCTTTCTTTATACGCGTTACACTTTTGTCATCTTTTTTATATTTGTAACACTTTTGTCATTTTTCTTTATATGCTTGAGACTTTTGTCATCTTTCTTAATATGCTTGACACTTTTGTCATCTTTCTTTATACGCGTTACACTTTTGTCATCTTTCTTTATACGCGTTACACTTTTGTCATATTTCTTTATATGTGTTACACTTTTGTCATCTTTCTTTATATGCTTGACACTTTTGTCATTTTTCTTTATACGCGTTACACTTTTGTCATCTTTCTTTATACGCGTTACACTTTTGTCATCTTTCTTTATACGCGTTACACTTTTGTCATCTTTCTTTTTATGTAACTTCACTACATAATCAATTCTTCAAGAAGGAAATATATATATATATTTTTAAGATATCATTGACAAAGCAAATCATTTAGCTTTCAGTTGTAGCAAATTTGTGGGCGTCATTTCAGCACAATAACAGAACTTAGTACAAGCAAAATACACCTGTTACAAACGTAACGTAAATGTTATTATGATAGGAGTTTTTTTATGAAGGTGGGATGTAGATGGAGGCGTTTGTCGCTAGATCTATAAGACAATGTTTAAAGCCGAATATTAGTATTTTCATACGAGTTTATTGAAAAAATGTAAGTTGGAATAAAGTAGTCTTTGTTTTATATTAAAGATGATAAGTATAAATAAGTGAGCTCTGCAGAGACAAGTTGTTAAAATTGAAAGTAGACCAGCCACGTTCTAAATTAATTCAATTTTGTATGATTAATTAAAAAATTGTATGTATAACAATGGCAAATTGGACCAACAAAGTGGGATATGAATTGCCGTGAATGTTTGTAATTGTACTTTTTCAGCATCCCTATATACGCCTATAACGACAAACGGTTGCCATATAAATGCCGCTCTGGCATTGCCTGCAAGAATTAATTATTTAAGTCATATCAATATTAATTGACACGCATCATATAGGGTGAAAAAGAGCAGCAAATTGAGATCGCTATGATAGAAATGAGACCCCAGGGATACTTTATATTTCATAAGAGGATGTGACATAATAAATTCAACGTTCAGAATGCAATGACCCCGTTATGCTCGCTTCCTTTCAGCTTGAATAAGTAAGCAGTCACAGCATCAATCAGGACCCGGTTGTTTAAAACATAGGTTAGTGATAACCAACGGATACAATCATTATCCACTGGCTAGAATTTGTCTGTTGGATAAATTCTGTTGTTCAAAAGTTATCTAACGGATAAAGTGCATTATTCAGTGGTTAACTTTAACCAGTCCTATGACCACCGGATAATGCCCTTATCCAGTGGTTAGTCATCATCATGAAAATAGTAAAAATCATTACAACATGTTTAAAACCAGATTTTTCTTACAAATATATGTTTATTTTTTTTCTTAACTAAAACATTCCATATGAAATGCATAGGATTAAATTGAAACATTTAGAACCCAATTTCAATCTCATTTGTTGTTGTTGTAGTAGTTCAGAATATTCAGTAAAACAGTCATAACGTTCTTATTTTTTTTTAATAAAACATACAAGTGTCAGAGCTCATTTTCTTAGTTAGAACATAACCCATCTAATAGAAGTAATTTCAATTCAAAATTAGAAAAAGTTGTTTTTCAATTCTTTTCTTATGTGTGTCTAAGGGAAAAATAGATCCACCGATACTTTAAGGCCTTTGATAAACTTTTTGTTTAATTCCAAAAACATGAAAGCACAAAACATGCAAAATTAATTCTTTGGGAGCTTCCTGATTTTTGTAAATTTATCATTCATCAATCAATCGGCCATTTTGTTTCCAGAATCACTAACCTGCCCAGTTGCATTGTGGTACTTAACCAGTGGATAAATACGCAATCCACTGGTTAGGTAGCCAGGGTACTTTCCAACTGTCAAACAATGAATTTTTATCCACTGGATAGCTGGGCGCTGAGTACATTGAGTTATTGGGTACATTCTTTAAACCATATCATATGTTACATTTGCCAATGTTCCATGCTTTGATTTGAGAACAATCCAATGATTTCAAAATCTAATCAGATGTTATCTAATGGGATTTAATATGATCCTAACATTTGAATGTTCATACATACTAAAAAATCCTGCATACAGGCCTAGGCTGAACATGAATTCATCCAATCCGCCTGCTATTTGCCTAACATAAGGAGCACAACCGTGACTATTTGCATTACACTACAATTAAAAGCAGTTTGACAGATGATTTAATAAAACATTTATTTATTTAAAGGCGTTTGCTACAGTAATATGTAAACATATAAGGATGATTAAAGTTGATGAAAATATATATTTTTTTAGATTATGCATGGTCTTAGAATAAGATAAGATAAGATATTTTAAACGAAAATATTAGGGGTCATTGGGTTCGTTTATCTGCCTTTCAATTAAAATATATTTACAATTTCATGTCATTCTCGTGCAGATATCTTATACATAAGTTTGCTTAACATTTCTTTTACAATTTGGTTTGCGTTTTTAATTTTATCTTTGGTCGCAAAAATATCACGAACATCCGTTCAACATTTTAAAATTCAAGGACAGATAACTCTAAATAGAGAGTTTTTTTATTATATATAAAATCATACAAACGTTAAAATGTTTACATCCATTACTTCTTTAAAAACCTATTGATAAGGCAATTCAGTGTTTATTTGTTACCTATACCTGTTATGAATATATACTTTAAAAGATATGACAAGAAAATTACTAAGATTATTCATGTATTTGTGACCATCTTTGTTACTAAGCACGATAATAGTTTCATAATGTTAAAACATAACTAGATTAGTTACTTCTTCAACTAAGAATTCAAATGCAAAAATCTAACACAAATTTCGGCGATCTTTCTTGTCTAGTAGTGACATTTCTGTTTTATTCAGACTTTAACGAGAATGTGTTCTACATATATATACTACAAAGAAGAGGCTGCTTCATGTGAATCGTCTGACCCTTTTCTTTCATGGCTTTTCTTTGAGAAGACGAGCTTTTCACACACTTCAAACGTCACAACACCCATCGCCATTATATTCTTCAGGAGGAAAATGGAAATACCTTGAGATAGACCATGCCACGTGATCATTCGTGTAATAAACAGAGGTAAGTTTATAAGGTAAGCTATAGCAAATTTATGTAACAATTCCAATTTAAATGGTAGTTTCTTTATGCCGAACTTTGTTTTCGCGAGCGTGAACAACGGAACTGTGGGTAACAGGAAGTTGATGCAACAAACAGCAATAATGGCGTCGTCAAGACCTGGCGGGTATGTGTCACGAATGTCTTTGTCAAACAAGTTTTCTAAATTGTCAACACCATCGAGAATATCGAATACAACAGTCGATGTGAGGGTTATAATGATGTCTTTCCGGTGACCATGTTGTATATCATTTAATGTAGGTAAATATGTTATAAACACAATTCCTGTCAGAGCTATAGTTGTTTTCAATGTGTTCGGTCCGAAGAAAAAAGCTTCGTCTAAATCTGTGGAAAATGTACTAAATATGACAATGATCTTAATGTCCATAATAACTGTATAGACAAGCCAAGCTATGTATGTCAACGGTAAGTGTTGAAGATCAGAAAATGAAAGACCCTGAGAATGTTTTTCTATATTCATGTTTCTCGAGGCCATCATAAAAGAAAGAGCAAATAGTGCTATGACAACAGCATCTGCGCCGTAGATCGCTGCCCACGTATTGGAGAGGTTGCTCATCAGATACCAGTTCATGCAAACTGCCTGAAGAATCAGAAGAAAAACACACATCGTTCTTGTAGGCCAATGATGCAAACATCGCTTCGCTTGACTTGCCATCCTTGGATATACAGATGAACACTTTAAAATACTGTAAATGTCCGATGTTTTAGTCACTACATGAACACTGAGTATCACTAATCAAATGAACACGAATGTTAATAATTGTAGAATCTTTATAATGTTGTATTTCTTAGAAAAACGAGTTAATGTGATGCCTTGCGGATTATGTTTTTTCCAGTCGACAACAGAACATCAGCTGCCACATTTGAATTATTGTGAGTATCCTATGTGATCTGAAAATATAAAATACTGATTGTATTTTTGTTATTCCACAACAGTATGGCTTGAGATGAGAGACGGATACTGATCAATGTTATCATTCCTCGTCATCATTTCACCCATTACTAGTGTATCTGGAGCAGTTAACATGCAATACTGTGAATTCACTTAATTTCGTGGCTATGAGATTTTGTGGTTTTATCACAAAGAACATTTTCGTGGGCACTTAAATTTGTGGATTGTTTATTTTTCCAAAAGTTAAACTGAAATAATGTGATGCAAAATAATCTTACAGCAGATAAAATGAAATTTCTTTGGCCCTTTGTTACCCAGGTTCCGATGCGCGCCCCGATTTGGAGATATGCTAGAGGGCTGATAAATAAAAATCCAAGATTTAAATTTCGAAAAACATTCTATGACAGTCAAGATGGAATATGACTTCACAGAATTTCTGACCAGTATATATATACATACAAGAAAATGAAGCAGATTTAATCATAAAGGAAGATATTGACACATTTAAAAAGCGAAAGGAAATAAAACAATCACATAGTCAATAGATATGTGATAGCAGATCTGATAGTTATTACCTAATGGCCTAAAATCTCTTGATCATATAAAAAGTATTATCACCTAGAACAATAAACATCCCTTCATATTTACCTTTAAGCAGGATATATTAATTTTGCGTTTTAATCTGTAGTTTTAATTTAAGCTTGACACATTTAATGTGAAATGTAACACTAGTTGAAGTGAAAATAATCAAATACACAATAAAATGAATAAGAAAAATAAACTTAAGTAAGAAAGAGAAGTTAATATTAAATAGATAAATTATACATTAAAGTATATGTGCATTAATTGTTTAAGACTTACAATACAAACAAATCCAAGATAAATTTAGATTATAACACCTTAAAGTCGTGGATTGACCTATCCACGAAAATTAGTGCCCCACAAATAATAATGATTTTGCAGTAACAGATATCAGTAGTGATTATCTGGTATAAAACATTACGTTTAATACCCCCAACAGACTAGAATGTGCTCTTTCATTATACAACAGCATTCGATTAATGATAACAATGAAAACAGCCCATCAAAATTAATGCGATATTGCTCTACCGGTAATACATGTTTACCCATGAGATACAAGCGAGGGTAGTGTGATATAACACATGGCTTGACATATCAAAATGCCAACTATTTAAGTGTAAGTTTAAATGCAATATATATATTTCTCTCTAAAAGTAAGTTACATCTAGATTGAAAATTGCCTTGAACAAAACAATCAACATTTTATGTGGGGAACAGAATTGCAAACTATTGCAACGAACACTACAATAATAAGTTGTTCTGGTGCGCTCAGTTTGTATTCTAACGTTCATGTAATTTTGGAGAAATTTATCATTGACCCTGCATTTGCCGGTAATTTTGAAGTTTTGTACAACGACCATTTTGTTTCAATAAAACTTTCAACTATCAATACATATCCTATGAAATATATTTGTTACGGGTTTAAGCCATATAAAAGAAACAACAAAAAAAAAACAACAACAACAAAAAATCCCCCAAAACAACAACAACAACAACAACAACAACGAATATTACGAATATTACAACATATATCAAAGAATGCTTAAAGAAAGCCTTTCTATTTCATTTCATGCCACATAAATACGACACAAGTTCAATACGCTAACATTTTATACTGTGAAAACAATATATTTCAAAAACTATTGCAGCAAAGTTAATTATAACTTAATTTAATAACCTGCTTGAACCCTATACCCACTGTTCCCTCCTGCCGACATACCTTTGCCATCAGTATATAACCAGGCCAGCCTTTTAAACCCGTGTAGTCAAACAAGGCTCCATACTGTTGGTAGCTTTAATTTGACATTGAAGTCTTTTTGAATGAAAAACTGATAGGCCCAACCCTGCCCATCCCGTATATGTGGGGTACTACGCCAAGTCAGGAAATAAATCGCTGAATTCTTGGATTTAACCTGTCTCTCTCCTGTCAGTCCTCAGGATTATACACACTAGTCCAATATTATTCATATTTCAATAAATTTCATATTAATGTTCTCTTATACACTTAGTTTAAGTGTTATGAGTCGACACCAAAAATAAAACTGCGCAGCATTGCTCGGTGCATCATAGTCATATCTATAAAACAAACATTTAAACATCAAAAAGCTTTTTCTTCTAACCCCAACAACACCTACTTAAGTCCATTAAACATGTTTAAGGAAAAGTACATATTAATGATCCAAATTCCGCTGTGCTGAATAATCAGTGAAACTCGCGCAGTAAAGTGAGAAGCTAGGACACCGGCTAGTACCCCTTAAATATTAATATGAATAAAAATGTTTAAAACATACAAAAATATCATCAAAATATCACAAATTAAGAAATACATACAGCTTCGGACTTATATGGGCCATCCAGGGACACATACCGTACATCATGATATAATTATTTGTGTAATCAGGGTCTTTAAAATTCTATTTGAAAGACCCTGGTAGAACCAGATCAGCTCAAGTCGAAAAAAAAACTTTGATTTTGGAGGAGGTAGGTTGTATACATGTAGATGGATCTTTGGCGGTTAACTAGTTTCAGACCTGGCTACGCGCTATGCACCTGTTGAATAGCTATCAATAGTTTTGTATGAATTTTGAAAACAAAAATTATCAAATAAATGTTTGAAAGAAATATTTCTTTTAGCTTATTTAACATGTCAACATTTAACTTAAAACTTTTTCATAATTATACGTTTTATGAACAAATTAACACTTTTTATTTTTAGAAAGCAAACACAAAAAAATGAAAGAAGTTTTATAATTACCGTGATTTTTACAATTCCATCATATAGCAATCCCTTATAATATTCTTTCACATAGAAAGCTCCCGAATGTACATAATCATGCATGCATGTTGCAATAATTCCTACAATAACATATAACAATCTTTACATGTGCGCACTTAAGAATAATATGTGTAAGACGTTAATTCATATTTCATATTAGCTGTGAAAAATGCTGTTAAACTATAACTATAACTATAACGAGTATATAAATGAATACACTGTCCGCATGTACACTAACATTTGGTGTGTATACATTCAACTAAAAATGTGGGTTAACCAATAAAAAAATATGGGTTTATCAAACATTGGCTATTTTTCTTAATGTGTACTATATTGACGTTTATGCTTGTTACACACGCTGTCTAGTAAGTCGCTCATTAACGCTACGGTTTATAACCTCGTGCTATTAACGCGTGCAATACTATGATGAGTAATCTACCTAAACTATCCACTTCACGAAACAAACAAATATAAATTACAAAACACACTTACCTTCCAATATTGAAATAACAGTATCGTAGCTCTATCAACAGATTAACCAGTATCATAATCGCTATAATGCATGGAGGTTTTCATAGCTGCAATAATTAGAGCGTGCAAAATGTATGTATACACATTATCATCAAGATCTAAGAGTTAAAAAGCCTTGAGCAAATACAAGTTGATGTCGTGTCGAAAGAGCCTTTTGTGGCAACACAAATATTCATATGGAATACATCTGTTTTTAATCGATCGAGTTGTTATCAAAAAATGAGCATTCTATTTTACTTGTATTGATATTAAATATAAGCTATTATTAATACAAATCCAAGTTAGAAAAAAGACCTTGATTGGATTTAAAAATTGTTATATCACGTAGCTTTCACAGTGAAAATAGGCTACATTGTTCAAAAGCCACTGATTTAAATCCATGTTACGTCTTTAACCTTTAACCTAGTGGCTTGTCCACCTAGTTTTATGCATATTTGTGAAATTTTCGGTAAAGTTAATACTCAAAATTAAAGCGTTGTTTTTACTAATCCCACAAACAATTTTATCTTATAACATGATTATCGTTATATGTTATTTCACTAAAGAAACGGTTGATTTAAGATACAGTTTTGTACATATAAATATATCTTTAATGTAAAATTTGCTTTCGTCGATGAAGAAAACCACCGTTCCTTTTGCGCTTCCACGGCGCTTCTGTTGCGTTGTAGGAGCGCCGTAAAAGCGCAGTGGAAGCGTAAAGAACGCAGATTGTCTACGTTCGGACTGCGCTTCTACTCGCAAATAAAACGCCGTGGAAGCTCTGTAGTTGTAGCATCGCCATGATCGCCGTAAGGACGCCGTGAAGTCTCCATGTCATCACAAACATCGCATTTTTATTGCGATCTCGCTTTGTTGAATTTTATAACGCCGTGCAAACGCAATGAAAACGCATTCTTGTGTGACAGGGCCTTAACGAATTAACTTCTATTAGATTTAAAGGGGGTTTACCCGTTACGGCACTAAGGCTTTCATTCTAGATATTTTGTGATCATTTTAATCACAATATAAACAGTGCTTTTATAATTATACATTGTTTAGCTTTATATACTTGAGGTAAAGTTATTGAAATCATAATAAAATGTGCCTTTTGGAATTAAAGTCATAAATGTATGACTGTTTACCAACCTAAACGAATTACAGAATTATCTTTGTTTTATAACGAAGACTCATAATAAGGATTTAGTTTGTTGCAATGTACAATGTTACATACGTATACGACGCGATAAATATTTTCTTAAAAGAGATCTGTTAAAAAAGTTTAGCCGTTATGTAATAGATTCTATATCTTAAATTTCATTTCAACACTTTTCAATATGACAATTGTATTTAACAAAAAATACCTGCAAATTTTAAATCCTTTTATAAATGCGTTTAGCACCTGTCTGCGAAATATTCATAATGCCTAAGAAGAAATAAAAACACATAGCGCATTAAACTATCTCGATTTGTTGCATCTGCAAACCAGTTGATGTGAGTTTGTTAATCAATAGTAATCTATTAATTGAATTGAAATGTAATTACAAAGCAACCTTGGATAAAGTAAAGTTTATCATTAACTGTTCGTTATAGGTAGGGTGAGGCCGGTGTGTGTGTGTCGGGTAGGGGGGGGGGACTATAATGTTTAAATCCCGGATTGTGGCGCATACCTTACATTAATATTTGCAAGACGAGTGACATATACTCATTTTGTCACTCTTAAGCTGAATTTGAAATCTATTCAAAATATTGACTGTTATAATGGTGACTGACCTATAATTTATAATGGAAAATGTTAGAAATATAATTTTTTTTTTAAAGACTGCCCCACTACTGAAAAAAAAGAAGAGAAAACAACAAAAAACAAAACAAAACAAAAACAATAACAACAACAACAATATTGAGCGCTACTGATAAATGTAAGGGTAATTTAAAGAAAAATCCGTAGATCACGTAGATTATTGATCATTTTTGCATAGTAAAATATAATTTCGAACACAATTATGGCAAAATGTAGAGTAATTTTGACTTTTACCTGTGTACTCATCATTTACGCTTGGATGAAAATAGTGCGGGATTAGTTTACACTATATTTTCCGAATACGGCCAATTAACAGCCGGACCAGTGTCTCCCGCATAATTGGTTTCATGTACAACACATGATTTAAATATATGTAACATATATATAACGTTTATATATGAATATTTTTTAACTTTACCAATCAGGACCAAGTTCCAAACATTTTGTTAAGAATACGTCGATTCATTTAGTTGCATTTCCCATGGTTCTATGAAACTTGGATTGTTGGTGGCTGCGTTTCGTAAATTTTGCTTCACCTTGTTGACATTTGCTTCCATATTCTGAAATGCTATTAATATTTTTTGATAACTTTTTCTCAGCATTTTGACAAGTATTGTTTTTGTACTCTTTAGGTACAGTAAAATGTATCTTTCAAGTTTTCCTGGTGTTTAGCTGCCTTGAAGGCACTAATCCATACTATAGCTATCATAACTGTTTGCAAAACCATCACGTTAATAAAGTATTAATCAATATGGAGAAATCGTTTGAAAATCATTTACAATAACAAAGTAATGAATTATGTTAACATTAAATTACTTTAAATTGCGAAACATTGATTTTACTTCACTGTAATAGTTTTGCACCTGCTGTCATTAAAATACAATTGTTAAAATATTGAATTCTGCTTAAGCCGATGCTAGGGGACTTGGACGGTAGTCTGCACTTGACAGTGCCATCCATGAACAGGCTTAATCAAACCGAGCTTGCAACATTTTCAATTTTGCTGTTTTTAACTTTCTTTAAGGATTCTTTTTTTTCTATCTTTTTTTTTACAGATAATTCAACAAAAAAGTTGTTTAAGTTGCAAATATTGAAAATACTCTTAATAGATATACTAGTTTGGATAGAGATTATTGAAACATCCTTCTAATTGAAAAATCCTTCTTATTGTCAGGTACATACATTTGGACGGACAATTCTACTCAATCAAGAATATATTATTAGTTGTTTTAGTCATAAGAAAATTCAATACGTGGTTTGCTTACAACTCAGATATTATGTCTTTTTAATTGTAAATTTGAATGATTAGTCAAGCATTTTGTTTCCCGTTCCTTTTGAACCAATTATTGTGGTCATGTGACATAGTGTTCACTCTTGCACAAGTCTTGTTACTGAGCAGTTTAAAGTTTACGTTCTAAATTTTACTTTATTAATAATTTTAACTATTATAGTGTTTCTTGGAAATTTAAGGTTGAGGTTGGTTGGTTTTATTTTGTACTAGACTCATTTTGTAGTCACAAATGAGCGATGCCTTATTTGAATTAATTCAGTATTTGACTTAATATCAGAGACATAGATAACAGAGATAGGCAACTTCCTAACCAGTTAAAATATCACGCGTTCCTGCTAAACTTAAAACTTGTAGCAAGTAAAACTTATTAACAAGATATCAAAATCAGGAAAATAATACATTTTCTGAAAGCTTATGTATTTGTCTATGTCTGCAGGTAAAAATATTTACAGTTCCCATTTAAAGAAATGATACATCAATTTTTAAGGAGAACTACCTATTAATTTTTGTTACAAAACTATTCATTTGACGAAAAAACTGGCTCAGTGGGTATGTTCTGCTATGTTTTTCTAAGTGAAAGTCATGGAAAGTTACCAATATTTTAACATGCAATAATAGATAAAAGATTTACCTTTCAAATGGTATATAAAATTAAAGGATCAAATGTACATCCATTAAGTTTTATTTGCTACAAAATGCCTAATTGTTCACATTTGATAGGTATGAGTGATATTTCAATGTAGTATATAGGAGCTGCTTATCTCTGTTATCTATGTCTCTGAAAATATGTATATTGGACATGTACATTGTTATCAAGATAGCAGCTTATACTAGTATTTCTAATTATGTAGTAATTGGTACAATCACTATTTACTATCTTATATTATCATCTGTTTACAGTTATAGAGCACGACTGCTAGTGTCTAGTAAATTCTGAATCAACCAATGGAGACAAATGAACATTAGATTCAATGTCAGTGATCAAATGTCTCTAAGAAACTTCGCTTAGCTCGAGGATCAAACCAGCAGTGCCTGTATTACAAAAAAGTTAATGCTGTCGTTAATGAGCTAAGCGGGCTGACGTATCCTTCCATAACAAGGTCCTTTTTGAAGGAATTAGTGTATTTCTCATTATTGATCTCTTTTTAGATAAAACATTTTCATAACACATTATTCTCTATTTTATATTTGTATCATAGTTTGGGACCTTTCTGTTGAAAATGTGTCGAAGTTAAATCGTATACATGTACATGCACAGTGCGTTAACTGGAGAGCAGGTATTCGTAACCCGCACTCTAGAGCATGCTCATTGATTGGTTCATTTTTGCTGGGGTTTACTTATTGTGACAGCCGAAAAAGGGAAAACGATATAAGTATCATATTCAGATGCTCGCTCATTGGTTACTTTATTTTCTGGGGTTTCATATTGTGACAACAGGAAACGTGTTTTTATGTTTGACTATGATACAAAAGAGAAAGAACATCAAAACATTCGGCAATCTGATAAATACTCGGCAAGGGGCAGGACGTGAAGTGGTTGCACAC